TCTCCTTTCCCCAGGATGTCTCCAAACGGAGGTGGAACCTTCTGTCAACGTTTCTGTTACGGCCAGGTGACCTTTTCTTTGACCACGACAGATCATTGAGTGGACAGACACTGCCTCTCTCTCTGCGGACTGAAGTGACATGTTTTCCACACCGTTGAAATTAGTTGGTCTGATTTTAACCACCATTTGAGGTTCTGACTTTGGACCACATAAGGCCAATCACTGGGGTGTTGGTAAAGGTTTGTGAGGCTGGACTAATCTGCATCTTACAGCCCTAACGTCACAAACATGTCAGAACTAAGACTGACGGACTTTAGATTACAGTATACCGCAGAACATACACTCAATTTTTGTGTGTATGTTTATATGTGTGTGTGTGTGTGTGTGTATTTGCGTGTGTGTGTGTGTGCGCACAATCCGTACGTACGTCCATGTGTGTATGCATGTGTGTCCGTGTGTGTGTCCGTGTGTGTGTGTGTGTGTGTGTGTGTGTGTGTGTGTGTGTGTGTGTGTGTGTGTGTGTGTGTGTGTGTGTGCTGGACTCTCTCCCCTCTCTCTCTCTCTGCCCCGAGCCAGGCAGTTCACTGGTATGGTGACACCAGCTAGACTGTGTCTATTTTTAGCCATGTCACAGATGGGCCCATGCCTGTCTGGCAGGGACCAGAATGTTCTTTAGCTCAGCTGTCATGCTTGGCGTTATGAGTGAAATGGATCCCCAGCCTCAGTCTCCACTGAGAGGTGGCTGGATACAGGACTCTCCCTTTAAGATTTCTTCTTTCGCCTCAAACAGGGCATTTAACTTTGAAATTATGCTGATAACTCACTCACGCACATTTAACCCACTTTCACAAAACAAAAATGTAATATGCAGTATTGTCTAATTAATTTGAACTGGATTGTGTTACTACTGCTGAGGAACCTGTATGTTAGGGGTGTTGTTATATGTGGTGATATTGTCAAGTTTCCCATGCAACAGCCTCTTTTCATCAAGCCCTGAGGGTACTCAAGAGTCAGACCAGCATTTACATTTACATTTACGTCATTTAGCAGACGCTCTTATCCAGAGCGACTTACAGTTAGTGCATACATTATTCTTTTTTTATTTTCATACCCCATGGGAATCGAACCCACAACCCTGGCGTTGCAAACGCCATGCTCTACCAACTGAGCTACCTCCCTGCCGGCCATTCCCTCCCCTACCCTGGACGACGCTGGGCCAATTGTGCGCCGCCCCATTGGTCTCCCGGTTGCGGCCAGCTACAGCAGAGCCTGGAGCAGTGGAGGTGCAACCTTGAACATCAATCACAAGTTCCACTGGGTCTCTGTTTCTCTGGACATACCAACTGATGACAAAGCTGAGAGCACCGTGGGCGGGGCGGGAGACACTTCACAGCAGGGCATCACAACAACCACCTCCACCTGACAGACATGCGTGTTGCTGGGGATAAAGAATTACTTTAAGGGCCCCTTTTCATCACCTGAGTGGGATGAAATAGTAACGCTAGAGGCTACATTGTATTGGTCTGGCTACACACATTGTGTGTGTGTGTGTGTGTGTGTGTGTGTGTGTGTGTGTGTGTGTGTGTGTGTGTGTGTGTGTGTGTGTGTGTGTGTGTGTTTAAGAGTGGGAGAGAGAGCTTTGATGGTTAAAGGGGTAAATAAGTCAAGAGTGAAGCAGAGTTCAGGTTGTCAGCCTGTCAGCTCACGTTAATATTAGTACTCAGTTCAGCCACTGTGGAGTGGTGTGTGTTGTTCCGGAAAGCCATTCCGAACACAGCAAGCTCTGTCGCAGGCAGCACCAAAAATCGGCTAATTTGCCACCATCATTCTCCTCCTTCAAAGGGACAATGTTGCTGATTCCAATGTTGGAACTCTTGGATTGGACAGCAACCTTGGGATATGGCTGAATTGTCTTGAACATGAAGGAAAATGGTTAGGATAAAATTGTCTCTGATGCAAGTCGTCTTTCCAGAGCTTTCCCAGGGGCCTGTAGGCTAATATTAAAGGTAATTAGCTCAATATATGGACCTTTTCCAGACGTTTGTCAGAGGAGTCCTGCTATATTAAGTCAATGCCTTCACCTGTCCCCCCCCCCAGGCAAGGTAAAGCAGTCCCTAGGTGAAGACATGAAAGGCGGTCATTTTGTTTTCACCACATAAACAAACGCTGTGATGAGCTAGCTACTGATGTGGCAATAACGGAGCAGGCTAACAACAAGGACTGTAGATCACAAGGGGAAAGGAAGAAGATGAGAATAGATCAAATCAATAGCTTCCTTCATCTTTATTATGAGGTGTGCAGTAATATGTGCACTCTAAGAAAATAAACTCATCTTATTAATTCTCCCAAAGAATAGCCCCAAAGAATCGACTAAATGAATGAACCAGGACCACCCACTCTTCTCTGCTTCTAAAGCCTGGCTCTAACGTTACTTCTCCACGCCACGATGTGCCACTCTACTTTCTAAAAGTCCTGATTGCACATGAATGGAAAGAGAGAGAGAGAGAGAGAGAGAGAGAGAGAGAGAGAGAGAGAGAGAGAGAGAGAGAGAGAGAGAGAGAGAGAGAGAGAGAGAGAGAGAGAGAGAGGGAGAGAGAGAGAGAGAGAGAGAGATTTAGAAAATCACATTCAAAATGGCTTTTATTTAGTCAGGATCATTATGACATAGTAATAATACATTATAAGGGGGATCATACATGCTTATGACAAGTCTGACAATGCCTTATAACCACATGATAATGCATTATAACCACATGATAATGCAACAGCCAAATATAAGGCTCTGGCATTCGCTATACTGCAGGCTTTAAGTAAGGGTTACTAGCAGGAACTGTTTAGAAGACTGCAAAACAGCAGGCTATAAAGAATGATGACAACTTGTTCTGGGTTCTTAACAGAGGACGTGGCCCCCCGGACACTTTGCTATCAATCTGGAGGAGTGTGGGAGCTTGATTGATTCTAGAGAAGGTCAAAAGCAACTTGTTTGGGGGTGCTGGCATTTCCATGGCAGCGAGATGTGCAAAACTGTCATTATTCTGCCACCAATACACAAACAGATTACAGACTCAGAATGGATACAGCATAGAGGCTTATTGGAGAAGAAGATCAAGTGTCACTCGAGTGTCACGAACCCAGCACAAGGAATTAGCTACTGTAAAACAGATTATTATGGCAGTGTGAAAAATCAGACTCATAAGAGGCTGGTAGTTCATTATCATTACAGTGCATTAACTGTGATACAGAGATCCTATCAAAGCTTGCTATGAACAAAGACTCCTGTGGAAAATTCTGGTTTGCAATCTAGCAATTAACTTCAAGTTATGCTTTCATGGTGCTAATCAGGGAAGACCTCCTGTGGAGCTGTGTACACTCTTAGAAAAAAGGGTTCCAAAAGGGTTCTTCAGCTGTCCCCATAGGAGAACCCATTTTGGTTCCAGCAGAACCCTTTTGGGTTAGAACCCTCTGTAGAAAGGGCTCTACATGGAACCAAAAGGACTCTACATGGAACCAAAAGGGTTCTATCTAGAAGTAAAAGGGTTCTACCTGGAAGCAAAAGGGTTCTACTTGGAACCAAAAATGGTTCTTCAAATGGTTCTCCTATGGGGCTAGCCGAAGAACCCTTTTAGGTTCTAGATAGCACTCTTTGTTCTAAGAGTGTAGTGTACAGAAATAACCGCCCATGTTCAACTTCATAAAAAACATGTTTTCCCATCTCAAGAGGTTCAATTTAAAAAATGACTTTAGTAGGTGCCTATTAAGGGCCAAATAAAGTATCAGGGATAACAGGATTTACATTTTCATCTTAAATCAGCCATAAATCCCCTCCTGACAGGTGGAATGGATGCTTGTTGTGTGCAACAGGGAGCGGCAATTGAATGCAAGCTTCACCCCAAAAAATGTTTTGCTAAATTATTTCTAGCCTGTCTATCTATGGGTAACAGGGTTGACGTGTTATGCTCGACCCAATCAGTTTTCCACCACAAAACACCAGAAAATGGCCATAAAGAGTGGAACCAGCACACCTGCTTTTACACTATGATTTGAATATTACATGTAATATTTAAAAAGGAATAGTTTCACCATATTAAAACGAGAGTTCAGTTCACGTAACAGGGTTAACCTTAAAATGAGGGACAAACGAATCAGTAATCACATTAAATAAATAATCATCTTCAGAAATGACTTTGTCAAAGCAACAAAATAACTAGGGCTTTACAAAGATGGTGAAACTTGGAGACATTTTAGGATTAAGTGGGTTGAAATCTTCCTAGATGTGACACAGGGTTGACGGTGGGAACTGAATTTTGACACTTTAGCAAGTCTTTATTCATATTAAAAACCTGATTGATTGAATTCTCCATGTGGTCTATATTAAAGGGCACTTCATTTAATATAACAGGCTTCTAAAATGTAATACTGGTGCACAACTTCTACTTAAAATATAAAATGGACTATTTTCGTGGAACGACTCATTTGCTGTGTAGGACCTTAATTCAGAGACTGGGTTGGGTTTTGATCATTCAAAACAGACATGTAGGCCTTCATAGCAAAACCTTATGCTTTGTTCAAAAGGCGACAATAGTTTAAAAACTTGGGTGGATATCATTCCACCAGCTCAATCTATCTCTGCCTGCATCCAATTTGTAAGTCGCTCTGGATAAGAGCGTCTGCTAAATGACGTAAATGTAAATGTAAAATGTAAATAAAATCTATAGCATTGCTCACCCCTTTTCACTGTCATTATGGCACCCGGGAAATTACACAATATAATTGCCATATCATATTTGTAATGCACAGGTGGCAGCATTACAAGGTGGCACTTGAAGATTAATCATGTTTTATAAATTAATAGTCAGTTAATATGATAGTTGATTGTTTAACTCGTTATTTACTGTACATCAACATATTACCTCACACTGTCCTCATCACTGCTCGAAGTAACTCAAATAAGCCTGTAATGCGGACTCCTTCACACCAGGTGGCCACACTGACGTTGTAAAGTCCATTCAACGTGTTTGTCAGTGAAGCGAGCAAGAACATTATAAACATCAATCGTCTGCAGTGGTATGTCCTTTTTATCGACTGACTTTTAACATTCGGCGTATTTTTTGTGTATTTAGCGCAAAGGCATGTGTTTAAAAATATTTGCTAATATTGTAGCTATAGCTAGCTGCACTATCACACATGCTAATTTCAATGGCGACTGAGCACATGATATTGAGTTAGCTTAGCATGCTAGCGCTATTTAGCATAGCTAGCAAGTTTGGGGGCGTGTAGCACGAATCTCTTCCAAAGCAGTGTCTCTAACTAGATATTTGATTTAGTTAGATAGCGAGATACGTTGTATATTTTTGTTGCACCCTCTACCAAACAGTTGTTGGAATTAATGTAATGATCTCTGTAGCGAGAGACAGACCGAGAGTGGTCTCAACATCGTGTGTTCCCATCCCACCTCTCGCAGATTCCTTCTCGTTTGACCAAGAAACTTGAGCATTAGTGGGAGCGGAGGGGAGTTGGAAGAAAATGGACCAGAGAGCTTGGAAGAACCCATACGCAGACTATGATGGGAACCCTGCATCTGTGCAAGAACTATTTGATTCACAAGGAAAGGTATGACGCTAACGTTAGCTAGCTAAAGTTAAAGCTAGCTAGGCCTGGTAAGCAAATGGTCATATCCTGACTGTACAATTCATAGCCTACATGTCATGAGCCTTTTTATGCTAAATGCATCACGTAACTGAAATATATGCAACATTCAAAGGACTTCAAAGCCAGGCCTACTGATAAAGATCTAATACAATATAATCCAATATGTTCTGTCATGGTGTTCTCTACAGCTCACAGCAGAGTTTGCAGGGCGGCTGAGCAATGCCATTAGTCAGCTGTTGATGCACATGGAGAATGGGCTCAAGTCTGCCGACCCTAGAGACTGCACTGGCTACACTGGCTGGGCAGGTGAGGAAGAAGAAACCACCATCTTGTGTTTTCTAGGTTTAGGCTGTGTTCTAATGTCACCTCGAATCACAAGTCTCCTAAACTCTGTCCATTCTTCCTCTCCCCCTCGTCTCCCCCAAACCCCTCTCCCTCCATAGGCATCGCCCTGCTTTACCTGCACCTCCACGGTGTGTTCGGAGAGCCTTCATTCCTGCAGAAGGCTCTGGACTACGTGGGCCACAGCCTGACGTGTCCGACGCGGCGACGTGATGTCACCTTCCTGTGCGGTGACGCCGGGCCCCTGGCCGTGGCTGCGGTGGTCTACCATAGAGTACAGAGAGCACAGGAGTCAGACGAATGCCTCAGCAGGTCAGTACAGGACATGGGCCAGCCATAAACGTGTGTGTATATAGGATCTGTTTATTTTTATTTAACCTTTATTTAACCAGGTAGGCCAGTTGAGAACAAGTTCTCATTTACAACTGCGACCTGGCCAAGATAAAGCAAAGCAGTGCGATTTAATAATAACAACAACACAGAGTTGCATATGGAATAAACAAAACATACAGTCAATAACACAATATAAAAACGTGTTGTGTACATCATTGGGGACGGCTTACAAGACTGAGAATTAAGACACTGGTGCTGTGTGTGTCTAGATTTCATTCCACCAAATCACTCATTTGATCAATATGTGGCTTACCATACTAGTCACTCCTCGCACGGGTAGATCTGAGAGGATTGGGTAGGTGTCGCAATATGGCAACAAGGTCCGCCTGACCTATTGGAAGGCAAGATCCTCACAGGTCTCCAGAAGATCCTAGGGGATAAGAGCTAGATGTTGATTTGGACAAAAGTCCACACAGTTAGTCAGGCAGATACCATAAGAGATCTGAGGTAAACTAAGTGTCCCCTCCTCTCTGCTTCCTCCCTCCAGGCTGCTGCAGCTCCATCAGTCGGTGGTAATGGGCTCCGGGGCCAGCGGGCTCCCAGATGAGCTGCTTTACGGCAGGATGGGGTACCTCTATGCCCTGACCTTCATCAACCAGCAGTTTGGTCACGACAAGATCCCCATCCAATACATCCAACAGGTCAGTCGTAGGCTCACGGTTAAGGTTTATCACATACACATTGGATATGTATTCAATGTGTTTAACAAGCACTGTTACGTTGAGTGTGTTCAATAGAAACGCAGTTGTTTGAGTGAGCTACGGAGCATTGTCATCAGAAAGGTGAACGATTTTCTAAGTAGGACCATTTGATAATTAAATGAAAATGTTACCCTTTTCACACTACTGAAATGAGCTTAGCCGAGCCAAGTACTGTGCTGGCCTGGTAATGCATCCATTGCTGGAACTGTGCTCGTAAGGACAAAGCCAGGGAGGCCCCCCTCTTGTAGGCCCGCAGATGTTTTTTTATTTTAGTAACTGTCTTGGTCTCAACATACTGTTGAGTTAGAATACAGAAGGTGCTATTTTGAAATGTGGTTGGGCATTGGCAGTTTCTCTCTTATGTCGGTCATTAGCTCGGTTCCATCAAATTGGCGACAGATTTTCATGCAAATATTCTAGAAGCACATATTTTCCCACCAGTGGCGCTTCCACCAAACAGACTTTCTGTGGATACAAATCAGTGGGTGATGACGTAGTGCACACAATGTCACCAACGTGGTCCTCTGTAGCTCAATTGGTAGAGAATGGCGCTTGTAACGCCAGGGTAGTGGGTTCGAACCCCGGGACCACCCATGCGTAAAAATGTAAGTCGCTTTGGATAAAAGCGTCTGCTATATGGCTTGTTATTATATTATTATGTACGCTTAAGTTTACATGTACTGAATAAAAATCCAAAGTCCATTGCATTTTCAACTCTACCGATAGTTTTGTCACAAACTGTTGCGTCTTGGCCCATGTGCTCTGGCCAACAGCTCACAGATAGTGTGGGTAGGCTAGTCTACATGATGAGATTATTATGGATAAGGGAGAGATTATTTTTTTGTCAATCATCGCTCATTGTGTCACCAGAATAAGACCCTAAAAATTTATTGGAAGGGAGCATCAAGATCACTGTGCACTTTCACCACCCTGTGAAGTTCATCACTTATTTCATCTGTAGCCTAAAAAACTGTCATGGTTTCCCCGAGTCGTAGTGGGAGGACCACACATCCATATCATCGCGTGACTCCAAGTTTACTTCGGTATGATGGTTATTATATCAATATTTGCGCATAAAGGCGTTCCCACCGCCATTTGTTGCATAATTTTACCGACACAAAAAGATACCACCATGTTGAACAAACAAATGATCTGTGTCCATTTATAAAATTGTATCAAAACTTCATTTATTTTTTTATTTTTTTATACACGGTATAAGTAGGTGTGACTTTACTCGCATAAAAACTGTGGATGGAAACATTGTTAGTTATTCACTCAATTAGCCCATGTCTGAATTTTTTTATTATTTTTATTTTAGAATGGTAAATTAATCTAGCCAGCTACCTAAACTTGTAGTAGTCATTGTCAAGTTACGGACCCCATTTGATTTTGTTAGTCACTCTCACTGAGATATTTTATTAACATGGCATAAAGACAGGGCAAAATGTAAAACTGCAATATGGCCTAAAAATCAGATCTCAATTATTATTTTTTTTTTTTTTTTTTGAAAACAAATAGTGAATCGCCAATAAGTTAGAAAAAAATTGAGATATGGTGTGTCCAAACCATTGACTGGTAGTATATATGTAGATAGATAGATACTACCAGTCTAAAGTTTGGACACCTACTCATTCAATGGTTTTTCTTTATTTTTACTATTTTTTTTACGTTGTGCAATAATAGTGAATACATCAAAACTATGAAATAACACATTTGGAATCAAGTAGTATCCAGAAAAAGTGTTAAACAAATCAAAATATATTTTATATTTGAGATTCTTCAAATAGCCACCCTTTGCCTTGATGACAGCTTTGCACATTCTTGGCATTCTCCCCAACCAGCTTCATGAGGTAGCCCCTGGAATGCATTTCAATTAACAGGCGTGCCTTCTAAAACGTTAATTTGTGAAATGTATTTCCTTCTTACTGCATTTGAGCCAATCAGTTGTGTTGTGACAAGGTAGGGGGGGGTATACAGAAGATAGCCCTATTTGGTACAAGAACAGCTCAAATAAGCAAAGACGAATGACAGTCCATCGTTACTTTAAGACATGAAGGTCAGTCAATATGGACAATTTCAAGACCCAGTGTTACCGCTGCTGCAGAGGATAAGTTCATTACATTTACATTTTAGTCATTTAGCAGACGCTCTTATCCAGAGCGACTTACAGTTAGCGCATACATTATTTTATCGAACCCACAACCCTGGCGTTGCAAACGCCATGCTCTACCAACTGAGCTACATCCCCTGCCGGCCATTCCATCCCCTACCCTGGACGACGCTGGGCCAATTGTGCGCCGCCCCATGGGTCTCCCGGTCGCGGCCGGCTACGACAGAGCCTGGATTCGAACCAGGATCTCTAGTGGCACAGCTAGCACTGCGATGCAGTGCCTTAGACCACTGCGCCACTCGGGAGACGTTAGTTACCAGCCTCAGACATTAGTTACCAGCCTCAGAAAATGCAGCCTTTTTGTGGTCCACTGTAGCTCAGCTGGTAGAGCACGGCGCTTGTAACGCCAAGGTAGTGGGTTCGATCCCCGGGACCACCCATACACAAAAAAAAAAATGTATGCACACATGACTGTAAGTCGCTTTGGATAAAAGCGTCTGCTAAATGGCATATTATTATTATATATTATTATAAATAAATGCTTCAGAGTTCAAGTCACAGACACATCTCAACATCAACTGTTCAGAGGGGACTGTGTGAATCAGGCCTTCATGGTCAAATTGCTGCAAAGAAATCACTAATAAAGGACCCCAATAAGAAGAAGAGACCTGCTTGGGCAAAGAAACACAAGCAATGGACATATTTGGTTCCAACCGCCGTTTCTTTGTGAGACGCGGTGTGGGTGAATGGATGATCTCCGCATGTGTAGTTCCCACCGTAAAGCATGGAGGAGGTGGTGTTATGGTGTGGGGGTGCTTTGCTGGTGACACTGTCTGTGATTTATTTAGAATTCAAGGCACACTTAACCAGCATGGCTACCACAGCATTCTGCAGCGATATGCCATCCCACCTGGTTTGGGCTTAGGGGGACTATCATTTGTTTTTCAACAGGACAGTGACCCAAAACACACCTCCAGGCTGTGTACGGGCTATTTTACTAAGAAGGAGAGTGGTGGAGTGCTGCATCAGATGACCTGGCCTCCACAATCACTCTGCGCAGAGTGAAGGAAAAGCAGCCAAAAAGTGCTCAGCATATGTGGGAACTCCTTCAAGACTGTTGGAAAAGCATTCCAGGTGAAGCTGGTTGAGGGAATACCAAGAGTGTGCAAAGCTGTCATCAAGGCAAAGGGTGGCTATTTGAAGAATCTCAAATATAAAATATATTTGGATTTGTTTAACACTTTTTCTGGTTACTACTTGATTCCAAATGTGTTATTTCATAGTTTTGATGTCTTCACTATGATTCTACAATGTAGAAAATAGTAAAAAATAAAGAAAAACCCTTGAATGAGTAGGTGTCCACACTTTTGACTGGTACTGTGTGTGTGTATATGTATCGCTATCTCTGTATATATCTCTAAATAAGCGTTGTACAATTAAAGGTCAAATACACTGCATTTCAAACAGTCAGCAATAATCTAATGAATTCAGGGCTTGTGAAGTTATACCTAGGCTAAATATAAGCTTTCCACAACCATAAGACCCACTTATAATTTAATTATTTTATCAAAATAGTTAACCTGCTTTTCTTTGTTTTGTTGCAATCACTGATCTGGCTTTTAAGTCGGTCTATGAAAATGCCCTTTTTTGTTACAGATGTAGCTAGAACCATCCATAATGCAACTTCACTAGTAATGACTAACACACGTCTCAACAATCTCTCAAGCCCACGTGCTAGTGATTAGTCAGTTTATCTTTTATATTTCAAGTTTAGCCAACTTGGGTCCATTTTCTAGCTAACAAGGTTGAACAGTTGAATTGTTATGAACAAACCTGTCTGTCTCCAACTGTTTGAAAAGCATGTTAGCCTGTCCACTTTGTTCAGATGTATACCAGTCTTTGGCTAAAATGCTGCTAAGGGTACGTGCTACCACAATGCAGCGCGCGAAAAACTGAGCATTCATTTACATTTTACATTTTAGTCATTTAGCAGACGCTCTTATCCAGAGCGACTTACAGTTAGTGAATACATTTGTATAAATTTTTTTTTTAATATTTTTATTTTATAAAAAAAAATATATATATATACTGGCCCCCCGTGGGAATCGAACCCACAACCCTGGCGTTGCAAACGCCATGCTCTATCAACTGAGCTACATCCCTGCCGGCCATTCCCTCCCCTACCCTGGACGACGCTGGGCCAATTGTGCGCCGCCCATAAGTCTCCCGGTCGGGGCCGGCTGTGACAGAGCCTGGATTCGAACCAGGATCTCTAGTGGCACAGTTAGCACTGCGATGCGGCGCAGGAGGCATTCATTTTCTAGAATCAATGTTCATTGGTACTCTCGTTTTAGTAGTGTCTGCTCTGCATGCAATTTGAGTTGTTGAGACATAAAAAGGGTATTGTTTGAAAAGTTAACTTCTCCTCTAGTACAGTAAAATAATGTGTATTGGTGTCCATATGACCGATTCTGTTGGAACAAAACTCAAATGCAAATACAGAAAAAATTTTGCTCGGGAGGGTTCGCGTAACAATATTTCGCTTAGGGGCTATGGGCTGGTCTAACTGCATGTGTGGGTATGGATGTGGGTACGCAGACCCGCGAGCCACTGAAGCCCCTCATGATGAGTTCAGACTTTTTGTGGCCCCCACCCCCATCAAAGCTGCCCATCCCTGGACAAAACCAGAATCTAATATCAGAGCCAGTAAGTTTCAGGTCGGCACAATAGTGTGAAAAGTGTAATTATTTTCAGTTGATATAGGTTGTGTACGTTCACTCATCCACCCTACAGATTTTCAGAAGCAATACAACAGTAAAGCCTCTTTACAATATTATATTATTATTATAAGAAATCCTGCTATTCCCTCCGAACCATCAAACAGGCAAAGAGTCAATACAGGACTAAGATTGAATCGTACTACACCGGCTCTGACGCTCGTCGGATGTGGCAGGGCTCAAAAACTATTACAGACGACAAAGGGAAGCACAGCTGCGAGCTGCCCAGTGACACAAGCCTACCAGACGAGCTAAACCACTTCTATGCTCGCTTCGAGGCAAACAACACTGAAGCATGCATGAGAGCACCAGCTGTTCCGGATGACTGTGATCACGCTCTCCGTAGCCGATGTGAGTGAGACTTTTAAGCAGGTCAACATTCACAAGGCCGCAGGGCCAGACGGATTACCAGGATGTGTACTCCGAGCATGTGCTGACCAACTGGCAAGTGTCTTCACCGACATTTTCAACATGTCCCTGACTGAGTCTGTAATACCAACATGTTTCAAGCAGACCACCATAGTCTTAGGACACTAAGATAACCTGCCTAAATGACTACCGACCCATGGCACTGACGTCTGTAGCCATGAAGTACTTTGAAAGGCTGGTCATGGCTCACATCAACACCATTATCCCAGAAACCCTAGACCCACTCCAATTTGCATACCGCCCCAACAGATCCACAGATGATGCAATCTCTATTGCACTCCACGCTGCCCTTTCCCACCTGGACAAGAGGAACACCTACGTGAGAATGCTATTCATTAACTACAGCTCAGCGTTCAACACCATAGTGCCCTCATCACTAAGCTAAGGATCCTGGGACTAAACACCTCCCTCTGCAACTGGATCCTGGACTTCCTGACGGGCCGCCCCCAGGTGGTAAGGGTAGGTAACAACACATCTGCCACGCTGATCCTCAACACGGGGGCCCCTCAGGGGTGCGTGCTCAGTCCCCTCCTGTACTCCCTGTTCACCCATGACTGCATGGCCAGGCACGACTCCAACACCATCATTAAGTTTGCCGACGATGAGACAGCATATAGGGAGGAGGTCAGAGACCTGGCCGTGTGGTGCCAGGATAACAACCTCTCCCTCAATGTGACAAAGACAAAGGAGATGATTGTGGACTACAGGAAAAAAAAGAGGACTGAGCACGCCCCCATTCTCATCGACGGGGCTGTAGTGGAACAGGTTGAGAGCTTCAAGTTCCTTGGTGTCCACATCACCAACAAACTATCATGGTCCAAACACACCAAGACAGTCGTGAAGAGGGCACAACAAAGCCTATTCCCCCTCAGGAGACTGAAAAGATTTGGCATGGGTCCTCAGATCCTCAAAGTTCTACAGCTGCACCATCGAGAGTATCCTGACTGGCTGCATCACCGCCTGGTATGGCAACTGTTCGGCCTCCGACCGCAAGGCGCTACAGAGGGTAGTGCGTACGGCCCAGTACATCACTGGGGCCAAGCTTCCTGCCATCCAGGACCTCTATACCAGGCGGTGTCAGAGGAAGGCCCTCAAAATTGTCAAAGACTCCAGCCACCCTAGTCATAGACTGTTCCCTCTGCTACCGCACGGCAAGAGGTACAGGTGCGCCAAATCTAGGTCCAAAAGGCTTCTCAACAGCTTCTACCCCCAAGCCATAAGACTCCTGAACAGCTAATCATGGCTACCCGGACTATTTGCACTGCCCCCCCCCCCCCACCCCATATTTTTACGCTGCTGCTACTCTGTTAAAGTGACTGCATAAATAATAATTACCTATTACCTCTACTACCTCAACTAGCCGGTGCCCCCGCACATAGACTCTGCACCGGTACCCCCCTATATATAGCCTCCCTACTGTTATTTTATTTTACTTCTGCTCTTTTTTTCTCAACACTTTTTTGTTTTATTGTAATTTTTTATACAAAAATAAATGCATTGTTGGTTAAGAGCTGTAAGTAAGCATAATGTCTACACCTGTTGTATTCGGCGCATGTGGAAAATAAAATTTGATTATTATATATATATATATTAATTATATTCCTGTTGTGGTGTGTTTTGAATGCTCTCTCTCCCTCTGATCTGAGGCTGTGTTGATATCAGTGATCAAATCAATTTTATTTGCCACATGCGCCGAATACAACAGGTGTAGACCTTACAGTGAAATGCTTACCTACAAGCCCTTAACCAACAATGCAGTTTTAAGAAAATTATTTTAAAAATAAAAATAATTATTAAAGAGCAACAGTAAAATAAAATAACAGTTGGGAGGCTATATACAAGGGGTACCGGTACAGAGTCAATGTGCGGGGGCACAGGTTAGTTGAGGGAATATGTACATGTAGGTAGAGTTAAGAGATGTGGCGTGTGTTTTGACTGTGTTTTGACCCTGGTCTCTCGCCCACAGATCTGTGAGGCTGTGTTGATATCGGGGGAGGGTCAGTCCCAGAGGTTCCGTTGTCAGGACCAGAGCCCTCTGATGTACGAGTGGTACCAAGAACAGTATGTAGGCCCCGCCCACGGCCTGGCAGGCATCTACTACTTCCTCATGCAGGTAATAAAGCTAGAGCTGATTGGTTTAAAACTTCCCTTTATTGTCATGCAGGTAAAGCTGATAGGCTGAAAATCCCCATTTATGCAGGATTAGGAATCTAAAGAAAACGCCTTCATATAACCTGTTATGTTAAGTCCTATTCCACCAAGTAGTTTACTAGTTGAATCATACGCTGATGCTGGAATAGTGAGTATGTGAAATGGCTGGGGGACTCTGAAGACCAGGTTGGGAAACATTGTATAACGGGACCTTAAACATCATCAACCAGGGTTGGGATCAATTCAGGGAGTAAACTTGCTTTTTCTCATTGAAAATAAACCACCAAATGGAATTGACTCCAAACTTTTCATCAACTTACTATGAAGTGTGAGCCATGAAACCTCATTGATCATCTTCCCTGTTCTGTGCCCTGCAGCCAGGCTATGTGGCGGGGGATGAGAGGGTCCACAGACTGGTGAGGCCCAGCGTGGACCACGTCTGTCGACTCCGCTTCCCCACGGGGAACTACCCACCCTGCATAGGGGACAACAGGGACCTGCTGGTGCACTGGTGTCACGGAGCCCCAGGCATTATCTACATGCTGCTGCAGGCCTACAAGGTACTGGAAACCTGGGTCCTTTTCAGTAGGAGGGAAATGTTTAGAAAAGAGTGAAACTGGGAGGTGCTACCTGAACTCATCCAATGAAAACGCAGATGTTAGCTTTTTTTTCCCGTTACAAAATGTTTTGATACGGTGTGACTCTACTGAACACACCCCAGGACTATGTTATGGATAGATTATGTGATGGATAATTACTATGGTACATGCAATCTCAGATGTAATTGGCAGAATAACATCATGGAGGCCGGGGGTCTCTTGGAGTGAAATAGTGGCATTTGGTGGTGAAGTTGTGCCAGCCATAATGTATAGCTGCAATACACAATACATGTGTCCCTTAAAACATTATCGCATTACTTTTATTCTGAAAATGTGTTTCATATGTCACATTAGTTGTCTGCCAATCAATCCTCTTGGGTTAGAAATAGACTACTGAATTTATACAGCGCTGTCTCAACGTCTCCTAAAGAAACATCCATTTTTTAGTTTCCTGTTTCAAACATTTAAAAACGTTTTGCCCTCCTGAACATGCCCCTGTTATCCCTCTGCAGGTGTTTGGAGTAGGCCAGTACCTGGAGGAGGCTCTGCAGTGTGGGGAGGTGGTGTGGCACAGGGGTCTGCTGAAGAAGGGCTACGGCCTGTGTCACGGCGCCGCGGGCAACGCCTACGCCTTCCTGGCCCTCTACAAGCTCACCCATGACCCCAAGCACCTCTACAGGGCCTGCATGGTGAGAGACAGCCTAAACTTACTGACCTGATGGGGAAATCTCCTGGCCCTATGTCCTCACCTGTTACCACAAGCAAGCTCTCATCAATTGATGAGGATGTGGAGCCTGGAGTTTCCCCTGGTCCGGTCACATGATCAAATGACTAAATTGTTGTTGTTTTTTTCTGGAAAACTCCTGGCTCGACTGTACGTCCTCATCCTCTACCACCCTCTCTGTGATGGTTTGATGTTTTAACAAATAGACATTTGACAGGGTCTCTACTAGGTTTATGACTTACTAATTTAGTAGCTTATGTCAGTGTGTTGTTATTGACAACCGCTAGGTGGCTGTCCGTGTGTTGTTATTGACAACCGCTAGGTGGCTGTCCGTGTGTTGTTATTGACAACCGCTAGGTGGCTGTCCGTGTGTTGTTATTGACAACCGCTAGGTGGCTGTCAGTGTGTTGTTATTGACAACCGCTAGGTGGCTGTTAATGTGTCTTTGCATCAACACAGACAGTGAGAGAGAGAGAGGGGGAGGTGTATTTGATGTCTCTTTTTGGAGGGGCTCCATATGGCTGGAGTCCCATGTGTAGTTTGAACTTTATTAAGATGCAGCTATTAATATCCAGCTGGAAATGGAGCTGCCAGATGGCTGTCCAAGCTCTTACATCTTACCCCAATGGACTGTAATGGAACCAACTAGAATGGCTTTGTGGTCACATAGGTGGGCCATTTAATCCTAGTGGCATCTAAAGTGTCACTGTAAGGCACACATTAAGAATTGGCTGCTAAAAATGAATTTCTCTTAGGACAGTGTTTGTCAATCGTCTGATACTGAATGAAGTGTTGACTGTTGTATTGTGAAAAGCCTGACTCGGGTCTTTTGTCTTCTGTAGTTTGCAGACTGGTGCATGAACTACGGAAAACATGGCTGCAGGACACCGGACACTCCTTTCTCATTATTTGAAGGTAATGTGAAGCCATCTAACACACAACATATCAAATGCTTGAAGTAGAATGTTTAGCCTAGACCAGATTTGCTCAATAATTTGGCAAATTTCAATTAATCAATGAATAGTGGAAAGCTTGAGGACATGGTCGTGTTCACTCTCCCGAGTGGCGCAGTGGTCTAAGGCGCTGCATCGCAGTGCTAGCTGTGCCACTAGAGATCCTGGTTCGAATCCAGGCTCTGTCGTAGCCGGCCGCGACCGGGAGACCCATGCGACGGCGCACAATTGGCCCAGGGTATGGGAGGGAATGGCCGGCAGGGATGTAGCTCAGTTGGTAGAGCATGGCGTTTGCAACGCCAGGGTTGTGGGTTCGATTCCCACGGGGGGCCAGTATGAAAAAAATATATAAAAAAAATAATGAATGCACTCACTAACTGTAAGTCGCTCTGGATAAGAGCGTCTGCTAAATGACGTAAATGTAAATGTCTCAAATTGTAGAAAACTGACAAACTGGGAGGGACTACCTGAACTGGGAGGGACTACCTGAACTTTGTTTTCATTTTCCTTTGCAAAATTTTTTTTGCTAAGGTGTGCCCTGACGAATACGACCCAATAACTGTTTTAGACGTGAAATCAATGTGTCACTTCGTGTCCACAGGCATGGCTGGCACCATCTACTTCCTGGCGGACCTCCTCCAGCCCCTGAAATCAAAGTTCCCAGCCTTTGAGGTGTAAAAGGTATCCCTGCTTACCCCTGGTCTCCTGCCTGCTGCTCTGGAAACTATGATACACATCCAAGCACCTAATCTCTCTCCATCTCTCTCACACACACACACACACACACACCGAGACATTTAAAGAAACACACACACAGGCATATACACCGCAGAGTCACCTCTGCAGGTGATAATCAAGATGACTTTTTCCATCACAACAAAATCTTCCCACAGTCTCTCCTTATTGGCTGAACGGTAACTGTGTGTGGTCAGCTCACTGTGGTGTAGGGAGGAGGACCAGGGACAATCAGTGCGAGGGTGACATTTTGCACGAGCAAATGGCAGTGAGCAAAAGAACCATAAGATTTCAAATAGATGTGAAGGCAAATTATCCAATGTGAATTCCAAATACTTCAACTCTCAATTGCATCGCATACATCACATGCATTGCTCAGTTGTCTAAACCCTGGTTAAATTCTTATAACACTACTTGTTGAAAAGTTCAAATTAAATCATGCTTTATAATTAGTTTTTATCATGCAGATTGAGTTTTATGGTATTCTTTGCACAGATCTGCACCTTTTTTTTGCGTGAGGAAAATGTCGCCCCTAGTCTAATATGTGCATGGTGCATGGGGGTTTGAAGTGTTATGCACTGAATCTTGCTCACTATTTTGTGTCTAGACATGGGGCATAAGCAGAGATGACCACCTCAAGTGGATTGTCGATTGATAGACATCAATTGAATATTTACTTTTCATTCATTTTTATGACGTATTGAGACTTCAGTTTATCTGAGATGAAATTGACTACGATTTTTTTTGCTCAGGCTAGAGTCTGGTCAAAAGGTAGTCCTCTCAACTCGGGACCATCATTAGCCCCTTGGTAACGGGGGTTGGAGCCCCGTCTCCAATTCTCCTGTCTATGTCCCTACTATCTGTGTCTACTTTCCCGCTGTACTGTCTATGAATCAATAAAAAATTACCAAGGGGATCGGAATACCGATCAATCTCCTATATAAAAAAAAATATCTTTGCTCCAACATTCATGTTTGTTAATTTTAGATTTCACCTTTTTTTTTTGAATAACCGGAATAGAAATTCCATGGTGTAGAGGATTTTTCATCTTTGCAGATTGTGGCTGCAATAGAAACTTTGTAGTAAAATTATTATACTGTGTGACAAAGTACTACAGTAAAACTGTAATGACCATGTGACGCATCATAACAAGTGGTGTGTGTGTGATGTACGCTTGTAACTCTACTGCTCATCTACGGTTTCTTCACATTTCCATTGGCTAAATAATAAAACAAGGTATTTTTTACATCTCACCTGTCTGTTACCTTTGCTATTAAACTATTATTCATTGTTGTAGTGTTCTGAATCTGACTGGCTCCTTGTCTCAACCTGCTGTTATAATAACAGAGCAAAGCCACTAAGGGGCAGCGGAGAGTTTGTCCATTTGGAATGGGAGCGTTCACGTTGAGCGGCAAGAATCGGTGAGTCCATCCGTCCATCCATCTACTAAAGCCTCCATTTTACTGCCCCCTTGCCAAACACTTAAGTGGTTAATATACTCTTTCTGACTTGACCGCTCCAACTTTCTCTATATTTGACTCCTTTCACTAAGGCACAAAAAAATCTGCATGTTAAACCCCAGGTCTCCTGCGCGCAATAAGACTGTGTTCGCCTACTGAGCTTAGGGAGCTAACGTAAGTCTTGCAAGGTTCACCGAACCACCTCCGTAAAACAAGTGAACAATAGCGCTGTAGCCTGCTCTATTGACCAATTTAGTTATGTGGTTATACATGCATAATTAGCACAACATCCTTATTGGCTGGTCCTGTCAACTGCACCCAGGTCAGCTGTAAAGGGGTGTTGCACTATGAGCCTCTCTAATAGGACACTAATTGGGCTATAATGATGGAGCTGGATGACTACTGAACTCTATCTACCCTGTCCCTATGGAACTCCACTCCTAACACACTATACCAAATAAGGCTCAGGAAACCCTGAAGGAGATGGGGCACAATACCTCGGCTCTTTTTTAAGCCTGCTCCCTGCTCCTCTTTTACGATGTGTGGCTGACATGGGCTCAAACCTGGGTTTAAATGCTATTTGAGCATTTGCTTTAGGCCGTGGGTGGGTTTGATGGTTGGGTTTGACATTTTGGGACTGTTCTATTGGTGCCCTTGAGCTAGGCAAGCTCAATCAGCACAGCTTAATGTTTGAATTGATTTCGAATAGTATTTGAACCCAGGACGACTTGGATCAGGGTAGGAGGGGGTTAAAAGGGGGGAATGTCCCAGCAACCAGTGACCCCCTTGAGGAGCTGCCCCCTGTCCCCCTCTCCTCTGAGATCAGGACAGGGGGAGGAGGAGGTGAGAAACTGAACACCGCAGGAGCGAGGGTAAAAATAGAGCTTGTGTCCCGGGGCGCGGTCTCTCCAAGCCTCCAGACGTGTCCTACACCACATTACATACAGCAGGAGGAGGAAGGAAAACACTACGGTGGTGGGATGGAAGTACAAGGTCGGGCTAATTCAAACCTGGGTTCAAATACTACTTGAAACTTTTTCAAATACATTGAGCTTTTGCTTTAGCCTGCCTAGACTGCCAGGTAGGTGGGGCTTGCAGTTTTGTGACTAATCTGTTGGGCCATTAAGCTACAGGCAAGCACAGATGATTTGTTCGAAATGATTTTGAATAGTATTTGAACCCAGGTCTGGTTTAGAATTGACTTATTAGCGGCGCTTGGTGGCTGGGTCTTATCGGGGGTTGTTACTAATGATGGCTGTGTTCTTGACCCTGTTGGAGGTCGAGGACAGTGACAGTCACACTGTGGATTCTATAGTCTGACCTAATGACCACTGTGATGTAAGGGGCGGAGTCAGGCAGATTCTGCACATGTACAACATTGTTTCCGGCAAACAACTTGAAACAAAAGTACAGCCAATTGGGCAATAACAAGTGGCACTGGTTTGATGCAAACTCTGTTTAAGTGCCATCCAGTCCCAGTTAAAACACTGTAACTATCCTTTTTCATTTCCTTTGGATATCTGGATTCGGTGCAAATCCGCCTATTCGTGGCCATCCAAACCGTTGCATACATCACATGTTAAGATTCAGCTGTAGGCTATAGCCTTTTCCATGGCATTAATTAATTCTAATACAAAACATTACCACATTTTTGTGAATCATTACACACCCACACAGTATACCCATAATCTGTGTCATCACAAACTAGACTCATAATACCTTTATCTGACTCAATCACAGGGATTATTATATTTCATTGAATCGTTGCCAGGCTCTGATATTTTAAAATGTTATCAACGTTCACAAACACTATTTGACTAACATATCATATAACATGCATCCTATATCATAGAGGTGTTGATATGTAGCCTACCCACTTCTCTGACAGCCCAGACATCATTTATTTGTCCTGTGTTTTATGGTATTAGGCCTATTAACACAGTACAGTGCCATATTACAGTCGTGGTCAAAAGTTTTGAGAATGACACAAATACTAATTTTCACAAAGTCTGCTGCCTCAGTTTTGATGATGGCAATTTGCATATACTCCAGAATGTTATGAAGAGTGACCAGATGAATTGCAATTAATTGCAAAGTCCCTCTTTGCCATGAAAATGAACTTAATCCCCAAAAAAACATTTCCACTGCATTTCAGCTTCAGCTGCGGGATCGGGGCACCACCAGTGCAGAGCTTGCTCAGGAATGGTAGCAGGCAGGAGTGAGTGCATCTGCACACACAGTGAGGCAAAGACTTTTGGAGGATGGCCTGGTGTCAAGAAGGGCAGCGAGGAAGCCACTTCTCTCCAGGAAAAACATCAGGGACAGACAGATATTCTGCAAAAGGTACAGGGATTGGACTGCTGAGGACTGGGGTAAAGTCATTTTCTCTGATGAATCCCCTTTCCGATTGTTTGGGGCATCCGGAAAAAAGCTTGTCCGGAGAAGACAAGGTGAGCACTACCATCAGTCCTGTGTCATGCCAACAGTAAAGCATCCTGAGACCATTCATGTGTGGGGTTGCTTCTCAGCCAAAGAAGTGGGCTCACTCACAATTTTGCCTAAGAACACAGCCATGAATAAAGAATGGTACCAACACATCCTCCGAGAGCAACTTCTCCCAACCATCCAGAACAGTTTGGTGACGAACAATGCCTCTTCCAGCATGATGGAGCACCTTGCTATAAGGCAAAAGTGATAACTAAGTGGCTCGGGGAACAAAACATCGAAATTTTGGGTCCATGGCTAGGAAACTCCCCAGACCTTAATCCCATTGAGAACTTGTGGTCAATCCTCAAGAGGCGGGTGGACAAACAAAACCCCACAAATTCTGACAAACTCCAAGCATTGATTATGCAAGAATGGGCTGCCATCAGTCAGGATGTGGCCCAGAAGTTAATTGACAGCATGCCAGGGTGGATTGCAGAAGTCTTGAAAAAGAAGGGTCAACACTGCAAATATTGACTCTTTGCATAAACTTAATGTAATTGTCAATAAAAGCCTTTGACACTTATGGAATGCTTGTAATTATACTTCAGTATACCATAGTAACATCTGACAAAAATATCTCATAACACTGAAGCAGCGAACTTAGTGAAGCCCAATACTTGTGTCATTCTCAAACTTTTGACCACGACTGTACTCTCTGTCTTGGATCATAGGTGGGATAACTGAAGCTTATTCAAGAAGTGTTATTATAATAAATAGTTTTACTCTTTCTTATAGTAAGCCCACATTGTTTGGTTATTTTAGTCCAAATTTGCATTCCTATTGTGCAGAAATGTGTGTGCCCCCCCCCCTCCCCCCCTGCAATCCCCTGGTGTACGGTTTCGATTGAACAGGGTGATGGAGCTTGGAGGGGGTGGTTGTTTTATTAGCTTGTGTAGTGAATGTCGGGTGACATTCCTGACATGCCAGCTCATCTTATTTTACGAAAGAGTGCGTCTCGCATTGAGAGAACAATTGAGCCAATAAGACAGAAGAATAAAATGTCTTGCTGGTCGTTATTCGCCATTTCATATTCCAGTGGCCCACACAAAAAATTATTGGCTAACTTTGACCGCTGCTACTCTTCAATGTATTTGTAAAACATACAATAAACAAACGTTTTATTTTTTTAAATATATATTTATATACAGTGGGGAGAACAAGTATTTGATACACTGCCGATTTTGCAGGTTTTCCGACTTACAAAGCATGTAGAGGTCTGTAATTTTTATCATAGTTACACTTAAACTGTGAGAGACGGAATCTAAAACAAAAATCCAGAAAATCACATTGTATGATTTTTAAGTAATTCATTTGCATTTTATTGCATGATATAAGTATTTGATCACCTACAAACCAGTAAGAATTCCGGCTCTCACAGACCTATTAGTTTTTCTTTAAGAAGCCCTCCTGTTCTCCACTCATTACCTGTATAAACTGCACCTGTTTGAACTTGTTACCTGTATAAAAGACACCTGTCCACACACTCAATCAAACAGACTACAACCTCTCCACAATGGCCTAGACCAGAGAGCTGTGTAAGGACATCAGGGATAAAATTGTAGACCTGTACAAGGCTGGGATGGGCTACAGGACAATAGGCAAGCAGCTTGGTGAGAAGGCAACAACTGTTGGCGCAATTATTAGAAAATGGAAGAAGTTCAAGATGACGGTCAATCACCCTCGGTCTGGGGCTCCATGCAAGATCTCACCTCGTGGGGCATCAATGATCATGAGGAAGGTGAGGGATCAGCCCAGAACTACACGGCAGGACCTGGTCAATGACCTGAAGAGAGCTGGGACCACAGTCTCAAAGAAAACCATTAGTAACACACTACGCCGTCATGGATTCAAATCCTGCAGCGCACGCAAGGTCCCCCTGCTCAAGCCAGTGCATGTCCAGGCCCGTCTGAAGTTTGCCAATGACCATCTGGATGATCCAGAGGAGGAATGGGAGAAGATCATGTGGTCTGATGAGACAAAAATAGAGCTTCTTGGTCTAAAGTCCACTCGCTGTGTTTGGAGGAAGAAGAAGGATGAGTACAACCCCAAGAACACCATCCCAACTGTGAAGCATGGAGGTGGAAACATCATTATTTGGGGATGCTTTTCTGCAAAGGGGACAGGACGACTGCACCGTATTGAGGGGAGGATGGATGGGGCCATGTATCGCGAGATCTTGGCCAACAACCTCCTTCCCTCAGAAAGAGCATTGAAGATGGGTCGTGGCTGGGTCTTCCAGCATGACAACGACCCGAAACACACAGCCAGGGCAACTAAGGAGTGGCTCCGTAAGAAGCATCTCAAGGTCCTGGAATGGCCTAGCCAGTCTCCAGACCTGAACCCAATAGAAAATCTTTGTGGAGGGAGCTGAAAGTCCGTATTTCCCATTGACAGCCCCGAAACCTGAAGGATCTGGAGAAGGTCTGTATGGAGGAGTGGGCCAAAATCCCTGCTGCAGTGTGTGCAAACCTGGTCAAGACCTAAAGGAAACGTATGATCTCTGTAATTGCAAACAAAGGTTTCTGTACCAAATATTAAGTTCTGCTTTTCTGATGTATCAAATACTTAGGTCATGCAAGAAAATGCAAATTAATTACTTAAAAATCATACAATGTGATTTTCTGGAGTTTTGTTTTAGATTCCGTCTGTAGCATTGAATACAAGGGAAGTCAGCGAGCATTTGGTCTCCCTTGATAAAAAAAAAAAAGTATAAAATAATAGCCAATCAGCCTTGATCTAAACTGAGTGAGCTCAACTGTGAATGGTCCTGGGCACCAAAAAAAAAGTGTAACCGGAAGCCAGCTTGGATTTGGCAGCACTCCTATCACAGAGAAATACCTTGAATTGTTGCATCTCCTTGTGTTGTTGTCCTCAGGTCTAGCTAAAATTGGCCCTTTCCTAAATTAGCCATGGATGGAGATAGGTATTTGGACTTGGGGTTTTACTGAATTTTCCACACTGGCCAATGATTATAACAGCGATTCTGATCTAACCATAAAATACATTGTGCCCCTACACTGAGAGGATGGAAGTTCAATATGTAGCTGGATGTAGAAGGCTAATGTTAACTAGCTAACATTGCCCATGAAAGGAAGTTAGGCTAGGAGCAAGCATTTTAGCCAGGTAGCCTAGGACAACAACAAATATAACCCTGTACTGTATGACAGAGTGATAGACCGTTTGTCAATATGAGAGAGAGGAGGCTGGCATTGGCATTTCTCTACAGGTAGGGTGAGTCAACATGTTTTTTCTACTTGCTCAACACAAATCAGAAACATGGACAGCCACATATTTAGCTTACTTTGATTGGACTAAATTGTTTTTGGTGTCTTTTAGTTGTCACTGTATTATACTAAGCATAATAATGGGTGATTTGATGATGTTGAAATGGTGCTGGAATAGTGGAGGCAGCTCCTATTTTCTTTGGGACTTTCAGTAACTCTCCCTGGTTCTAAATCAATAGCCGAAAATGTGGGAAACATTAACTTTCTTGACCATGCAGTAGGTCATGTAAGTGTGTGTTACATGCAATATGCTTTGTAGACTTCACCAGACAGAGGTTGCGCTTCGGTTTTGTAATGAAACAAAGGTGTGGTTGAATTTATTCGGCCACTGTGTCTTCTTATTGTCTCGGCCTTTAGGCCTATATATCACGAAGGCAAGGCATATGAATTAACAGGTTATAGAGCAAACAACTCAATTATCACAACACACAGGTTGTAATTTGGCTTTTTTCTGGATTGGCTTCCCCAGTGATTTTTACCCACGCACATCTACTGGACACCACAGCAGGCTGCATCTACTGATTAGATTGATATGCATAGCCTACCATCGAATTCGTGTCAGTTGTTTAGGCCTAATGCAAATAGGTCCGCAACGTCAACAGGAAAAAAGCTAACTTGATTTTTAAAGCACTATTCTTATTACGGCCAAAATACATATCCAGTTAAACGTTGTGCTTCATGACGCACAGTTGCTGCGGACCCAACAGGACCCTGCTTTTCGTTTTGTGTTTTGACTACGCCTCAATACAACCATAAGAGGAAGACTCTCTCACTGTTTAAAAATATCACCTTGTAAACATGATAAGCTTTCTACAGTTGTAGGCCGACTGAAGTGGGCTGTTGGTTCGGCGCATTTTTGTATCCGCGCCGGAACACGCAAATCCAGCGCATTTCAGCGCCCATCTATCACTCACCTACTTCAGGCTAGAATGTCAACCAATAACATCGTTTGCGATCCTTGTAAAAGGATTTGGAAATGCTGACCCGAGACAAGAAGTCTCGAATCAGTTCCTTAGCCGACTATAAATAGCCCTGTCCCCATCCTTCTAAAGGCCTGCTTGCGCTCCAAGAGGGGACCACAGCTGCAATTTCCGTATTGCCCTAAGAAAGTTAAAGAACTTCCAAAGCGTCATCTGATCTGCCCTGTGACATCACGACCCGGTCATAAATAAGAGAGGGACTTTGAGCATGGTTCAGGACCACTCTTTCTTGGGACTCCGGCTTCTTTAGTCTTCTTTCTTTTTGCCCCGTGTCAACTCCTTCATCTCCATAATGGTGTGTACTTTTGGATTTACCACTGCCTGAAGTGATTTTCAGATGCTTATTTTTGTGCCTATCAATTTGTGTGGCTTTGGGGCTATTGGATTATCTAAAAGCCTGACGTTGCTACAGAACTACCGTGGGTGCATCTGTGTGATTTGGTATAGAGATTGGATATCAAGACTTGGTTGGTTCACTTCTTTGTTAACAAAATAAGCCACTGTCATACTAAATTTTTTGGGAAGAAACCAAGGAGGACCTAATTAGATTAGAGCTTCTCATTTGACTCCACAAAGACACCGTGGAATATATCCCAAATCATTACAAGCATTTCATCTAGCCATCATCACACTAGCTAGTGTAATTTCTCACCTAGTGTCTAATTCATGTATTGTTCTATATCTAGAATGTAGACCTTCTATATACCTGTATTTCTATGTTTTTCTGTTGAGCGCCTGCATCACTTTGAGATGAGTCTCTGTATCACCATGGTGCCAGCGACGTGTTGGTACTTCTGAGAATGGCAGGATGCCCGTGGTGGTGGATTGGTTATAACAGGTCCCAGATCAGGTCTTAGGGACTCATCCTTCTCTTGTTATGGTGTGTGCGTCTTTAATAGGCTGATGCTGCTGCTCCTGCTGAGGCACCCGCCGCCTCTTTCACGGCGGACCAGATCGAGGGTAAGTTAATTGTGTGTGTGTGTGTGTGTGGAGAGAAGTGTGTTGAGTTTCTTAGGGCCCTCCTCTTTGTTCTGTCGTATCTTCTCTAGGCGAGGACTCTGTAGGACTAGGTGAGGACTCTGTAGGACTAGGCGAGGACTCTGTAGGACTAGGCGAGGACTCTGTAGGATTAGGCGAGGACTCGGTGTAGGACTAGCTGAGGACTCAGTGTAGGACCAGGTGAGGACTCAGTTTAGGACCAGGTGAGGACCAGGTTCTTTACAGATAGCTCAGTGATAAAGCATGTCCCCTGTGTTTTACAAAGTAGCACTCACCAAGTTCAATAGGCAAAATGATACTCAGTCAAATAGGTCAAGTGGCTCCCAGAATAAGTTCCCCTGTGGACTAGTTTTTCTGGAGGCTTTAGTTAGGCTCTAAAAGTAGAGTTGTATGATCTGCACGGTTTCTGCATCATGAGGTCCCCTCTGTGTGTGTGATAAGTCACTGATAAGTGGGTGAAAATGACCTAAATTGTGTCCACTCGTTTTGGAGCCCATGGCCTTGACAACACAAGTGCAGAATAACCCAGGGTCTTGTTCAGCTGTCCAGAGGAGATTAGTGTCCCTGCTTCTATTCTGAGCAGCACGGTCTTGTTCTTTTAAAAGACGTCCTTCAGAATGGCTGTTGTTTTGTGTAGAGCTAGTTGGTTCGTAGAACAAGTGCCAATTAGTGTGTAGAACTAGTGGCAGTTGGTGTGTAGAACTAGTGCCAGTTGGTGTATAGAACTAGTGCCAGTTGGTGTGTAGAACTAGTGCCAGTTGGTGTATAGAACTAGTGCCAGTTGGTGTGTAGAACTAGTGCCAGTTGGTGTGTAGAACTAGTGGCAGTTGGTGTGTAGAACTAACTAGTGGTAACTGGCCAGAATAGGGTGAGCTGGAAATGAACTATTGAGGCCATTTACTCCACTAGGTGCTAAAAGGAATGTCACGTCAGTCAATGGCAGTCCAGTGGTATGTACAACCTCCTATATTGGACCCATCATTAACACACTGTTGCTAGGACTATATACAATTCCTGTATGTCATCTTGTACAATACAATTATTGTATAGGTGTTATTTTATCAGACAAGTCGCTTTTAGAAAAAATTGGTAACACTTTATATAAACTTTCATAAATGAGCATTAATAAACAAATACATGTTTTCATTATTTGTAAACATTTATAATGTAATAAAAGTTATTATAAAGTGTTTCCTAAAGAATCCACTGCATACTCTAGACTAGAGCACTTGCTATTGGCTGGAGGAGCAGCTAGGCTAGGTGCTGCAGGAACGCAGGCGGGCCCAATGCTAGCGTGTGTTGATTACTCCGGAGTCAGCATTCTTATGTTTAACCCGAGCCAGGCAGGCGGAGCAGACCGTGCCCGTATACGGCATGGGTTACTTTCTTAGGGCGTATCGATTGTCAGTCGGTGGTTCTAAATGCCAAACGCCAGCGGGCCTTGTAGGAGGGAGTGAGGGAGGGGGTGGAGGGGGGGGGGGCAGCTGCTGCCGTTCGGAAATCACATAAGGCCATTAATCTGTTGGATCACTTTCAATTGGGATTCTCAGTGGAGTCCATAGAAATAGCGAGCCCTTATAGTGACCCGCCAGCCATCCTCCCTTACTGCACCTCTACAGTACACACAGCTGTTGGTTGATAATAAGTCAGGGGACAATGAGGGAGGAATCGAGCGTTCTTCATCTTTGAATCTGCTGCACAGCAACAAGAGACATGTAGCTCCTCCCCATTCTCCAGTGCTGCAGTTAGAATTTACTTTTACCAGAACGGTGAACAATGTGTCATTGATTGCGTGTAGTTTTATTAGAAGTATTGAACAAATATCTGGTCTGTTTTTGCCTTTGGTTCATAAAACAAAATGACTAATAACGACGGAGCTACTTTTCGTCCCTTTTATTAACTCAAATATTTTAACTTTGATTTATTGAAACATTTGAGTGTGAACAAGATAGTTGTCAGGATACTGTACGTTTGTGCACACTTTATGCTTGTCTTCATCCAACTCATCGTATCTTCTGCGTTTCCCTCGTCCTTCCAGACTTCAAAGAGGCTTTCGGGCTCTTCGACAGAGTCGGTGATAGCATGGTTGGATACAACCAGGTGGCTGACATCATGCGCGCCTTGGGACAGAACCCCCAGAACAAGGAGGTTGCAGTGATCCTGGGAAAACCATCCCCCGAAGGTGAGACCACCCGTACTCCTATAGGGATAGGTTGTGAGAACATCGCAAACGCTGTGAGAATGTTGTGAGAACGTCATGATACGTTCAGGTAGAAATGTAGTATGAAGACCAAACAGGCCTCTCTACCCCTGTAGAATAAGTAATGACGTCTGTTCTAGTCATGACATTTCTATCTGCAAAGTCCTACATACGTTTGCTCTACTGAACGTGGCCCCGAGGATGGAATAGTCCCAAAAGTGTAAACCCCGCCCCAATCTGGGCCTCCAGGTGGGCTTGATCAAACACTACACGTATTTGAAAGAAAACAAATACTGTTTGAACCCACATCTGGTAGCGATATGAATGTTCATTTTGTGGTCTGGTTGTCAAGGGTGATTATATAAAATAACAATGAGGTAACGACCGTCACTAGCAAGACACTGTTTGTCCTTGACGTGGTGTGCACGATGTGATCGTATCAAACCAAGCAGTGGAAGGCTACAGATGGACCACCATACCGTGTGTGACTAACGTCGATCTCTTCTCCTTCGTTGAGTCAGATATGGCCAACAAGAGGCTGGCCTTCGCCGATTTCCTGCCCATGCTGGAAAAAGCCGATAAATTGGTGAAGGGTACACTTGATGACTACGTTGAGGGTCTCCGTGTCTTCGACAAGGAGGGCAACGGCACCGTGATGGGGGCTGAGCTGCGCATCGTGCTGGGGACACTGGGTGAGTGGAGTCGATACATTTAGACACGGTACAGTACAGCACTGACTGGGCAGTGGGTTAGCCAGCTAAAAAGTCTGGTTGGCTGGGTGAAATCAATCCCCTAGCCCCCCTACACCCTAGGTACACTACTGCCATATTGCTTACACCTGTCTAACCGTCTCAGATCTACACAAGTGCTTAGGGTGTAGGGTGTATTGGGGGTTGATTTTGGATTCAGGATGTGTGTGTGTGTTCCTGACTGGCTCGTTGTTGGTCCCTTTTAGGTGAGAAGATGTCTGAGGCCGAGATTGATTCCCTCCTTATAGGTCAGGAGGACGAGAATGGCAGCATCAACTATGAGGGCAAGTCTTTTTCAACCTCTAAAGAGCAAATATCCTGGATCCTGCACAGATCATGTCACAGACTGTTTTAATAACAGTATCATTGAAATATTTGTACTCTTATTTTAATCATATTTATATTTATCAAATAGATTTTTATCAAATGTATTTGTATCAAATGATTTTATAATAGTTTTTATAATTTTCTAAATAATTGTTTTATTTAGATCTCTTGCTCCTGTACTTATGTGTCCTCTCTGTTCTCCCCCCAGCATTCGTCAAGCACGTCCTGTCTGTGTAAGATAGTGCTGCGGCAACCAAAGCTTATCTATCTCCCAGACCCCATGGTGTCAGGACTGTTTTTCTAAAGACCAACCTAGGAAAGAAAAGGACTATAATGGGATGTCGAAAAGCCATTCTGTGTTTTTTTTCTTTTTGTCCGTCAACTTTTCAACTCCTCACTCCTCTCTACGGAAGTTACCTCTCCGCTGTCAATGACGACCCTCTCCTCGCCTCCACCTGGGGCATGTCTCTCCACTTGGGGTGGGACGGTGACCACTCATCAAGTGGGGATTGTACCCTCTGCCCCGCCCACCTCATGACATCATCATCTTGCTGGCAATGCCAAAGGCGCTGACTGGACAAGATTGTGGATTGGCCGCCAAACCCCTCCCCCCTTTCCCTCAAAGTTATATTTATTTTCACTCTGTCGTTTCAGAATAAACTTTTCCAAAAGTACATCCCCCACCCGGCTTGATTCTTGGTCTTCTTCATTGAGCTTGTGACGATGTACTATTTTAGAGGTGTCATCCATGAAAGGATAAGACAGGAATATTAAGATGGATATATCCTCGGTCTAAAGAAGTGTACAAATACACCTTCAATTAAATAAAACTATCAGATACCATAGCATATTTTTTCATAAACATGTAGTTATATTAAACACTTCAATATTTAGGTAACGTGAACAACTGTCACCTGTCTACTGAAAGAACACACTTTACTGAACCTCTACAGTTATATGTTGCAATGGTAAGTTAAAGGCCCAATGCAACCGTTTGTATTGTTTTCAATGGGGGGCTGAAAACTAGCATTTATTGGCAGAGAGTTTTGGAACTCTGTTACTGGTTTATTAACTATTTTACCGCCTGGTGATGTCACCTGGAAGGCCAAAACTCCACCCCACCAAAACAGGCTGAAATTTAAGGCAGTCTTTTCAAACAGCTCTTACACTAACAGTGCATTATCATAATTTTAACAATGTCATAGTATTATACCAACCTCATAGTGTGGAAATATATAATAACAGGAAAATCACGTTTATGACTGCACTGGGCCTTTAATGGGATCAAAATAGTAAGGCTGAAGACATCAAATCAAATTGTATTGGTCATATACATGTGTTTAGCAGATGTTATTGCGGGTGTAGCGAAATGCTTGTGCTTCTAGCTCCGACAGTGCAGTAATATCTAACAGGTAATATCTAACAATTTCACAACATATACCCAATACACACAAATCTAAGTAAGGAATGAATTAAGAATATATACATATGGACGAGCGATGTCAGAGTGGCATGACTAAGATACAGTAGAATAGTATAGAATACAGGATATACATATGAGATGAGTAATGCAAGATATGTAAACATTATTAAAGTGGCTAGTGTTCCATTTCTTAAAGTGGCCAGTGATTTCTAGTCTATGTCTATAGGCAGCAGCCTCTAATGTGCTAGTTATGGCTGTTTAACAGTCTGATGGCCTTCAGATAATTGCTGTTTTTCAGTCTCTCTGTCCCAGCTTTGATGCACCTGTACTGACCTCGCCTTCTGGATGGTAGCGGGGTGAACAGGCAGTGGCTCGGGTGGTTGATGTCTTTGATGATCTTTTTGGCCTTCCTGTGACATCGGGTGCTGTAGGTGTCCTGGGGGCGGGTAGTTTGCCCCCGGTAATGTGTTGTGCAGACCGCACCACCCTCTGGAGAGCCTTGCGGTTGCGGGCGGTGCAGTTGCCGTACCAGGCGGTGATACAGCCCGACAGGATGCTCTTAATTGTGCATCTATAAAAGTTTGTGAGGGTTTTAGGTGCCAAGCCAAATTTCTTTAGCCTCCTGAGGTTGAAGAGGCTCTGTTGCGCCTTCTTCACCACACTGTCTGTGTGGGTGGTCCATTTCAGTTTGTCAGTGATGTGTACGCCAAGGAACTTGAAGCTTTTCACCTTCTCCACTGTGGTCCCGTCGATGTGGATGGGGGGGTGCACCCTCTGCTGTTTCCTGAAGTCCACCATCATCTCCTTTGTTTTGTTGACGTTGAGTAAGAGGTTATTTTCCTGGCACCACACTCCCAGAGCCCTCACCTCCTCCCTGTAGGCTGTCTCGTCATTGTTGGTAATCAAGCCTACTACTGTTTTGTCGTCTGCAAACTTGATGATTGAGTTGGAGGCGTGCTTGGCCACGCAGTCATGGGTGAACAGGGAGTACAGGAGTGGCCTGAGCACGCACCCTTGTGGGGCCCCAGTGTTGAGGATCAGCAAAGTGGAGGTGTTGTTTCCTACCTTCACCACCTGGGGGCGGCCAGTCAGGATGTCCAGGACCCAGTTGCACAGGGCGGGGTTCAGACCCAGTGCCTCGAGCTTAATGATGAGCTTGGAGTGTACTATGGTGTTGAATGCTGAGCTATAGTCAATGAACAACATTCTTACATAGGTATTCCTCTTGTCCAGATGGGATAGGGCCATGTGCAGTGATGGCGATTGCATCATCTGTGGATCTATTGGGGCAGTAAGCAAATTGAAGTGGGTCTAGGGTGGCAGGTAAGGTAGAGGTGATATGATCCTTGACTAGTCTCTCAAAGCACTTCATGATGACAGAGGTGAGTGCTAGGGGGCGATAGTCATTCAGTTCAGTTACCCTTGCTTTCTTGGGTACAGGAACAATGGTGGCCATCTTGAAGCATGTGGGGACAGCAGACTGGGATAGGGAGAGATTGAATATGTCCGTAAACACACCAGCCAGCTGGTCTGGGCATGCTCTGAGGACGCGGCTAGGGATGGCGTCTGGGCTGGCAGCCTTGCGAGGGTTAACACGTTTAAATGTTTAACTCACGTCGGCCACGGAGAACGAGAGCTCACAGTCCTTGGTAGCGGGCCGCGTCGGAGGCACAGTGTTATCCTCAGAGTGGGCGAAGAATGTGTTTAGCTTGGCCGGAAGCAAGTCGGTCTCGGCGACGTGGCTGCTTTTCGTTTTGTAGTCCATGATTGTCTGTAGACCCTGCCACATACGTCTCGTGTCTGAGCAGTTGAATGTATTACTTTTAATTACAAATCACTTTTCTTCCATCGACTTTTTGACACATTTTCAGAAACCCAAGGCTCCCATTTAGTATCTACCATGCTTGTATGACTGGTCCCTTACAGCCGTGCCATTTATCCATGTATGGGTATTGAAGTATCATCAAATAATGCATCGAGAGTGGCAATATCATAAAGCATTTTTGTACTGCAGAAAATGTATGTTAGCCCACTTTAAAATCCACTGTAAAACATTATATTATCTCTTGGTACATACTTGCTGTTGAATGAAATGACCAATTCAAAAGGCTAGTTCACAATCTCTGGATTACCCTGAGTATGAAGCATGAGCCACCCTAGTCATAGACTGTTCTCTCTGCTACCGCACGGGAAGCTGTACCGGAGCGCCAAGTCTAGGTCCAAAAGGCTTCTTAACAGTTTCTACCCCCAAGCCATAAAACTGCTGAACAGTTAATCAAATGGCTACCCGGACTATTTGCATTGATCCCCACTTTTTTACGCTGCTGCTACTTGCTGTTTATTATCTATGCATAGTCATTTTACCCCTATCTACATGTACATATTACCTCAATTACCTCGACTAACCTGTAACCCGCACATTGACTTGGTACAGGGACCCCATGCCTCGTTATTGTTATTGTTACTTTTTTTTTCAACGTTAGTTTATTTAGTCAATATTTTCTTAACTCTTATTTTTCTTAACTGCATTGTTGGTTAAGGGCTTGTAAGTAAGAATTTCACGGTAAGGTCTACACCTGTTGTATTCGGCGAATGTGACAAATTCAATTTAATTTGATTTCTATTGTGAAAATCTACTCAAAAATCACAAAACATATTGCCTTTTGAATAAAACAACAAATAAAAATGTTTTGTTGAAGCCCAAATCCCATACTACCCTAGTATATTTAATCCATTATGTTTGTAATGTGTAGGATGAGAATATCTGATATAATAGGTTCATTCAGCAGGCCTTACCTCCGCCCAGTAGACGGCAGCAAATTCAACAGATGAGACTGTAGGCTACCCTTGAAATACTGAAGAAGAAACACATTCACTTTTGTTGTGTGTGTTGGGTGAAAGCGGTACAGGGGAAAATGTTGTCGAAAGCTGTGAAAACGTGTTTTTCCGGTGTGAAAAATGTATGTCGAGGTGGACAAGTACTTTCCACTGCAAATACCAGGTGCGTTTCGTAGTTTTGCGTGGACATTTTACTGGGGAAACGGTGTTTATTTAACGTTTAATTTACTGTTATTGAGCAGGAAATATGTTCGTTGTTTTTTCTATTGTGTTGAATTCATTGAAATTGTCATTAAACATAATATTTTAGTTAGACAGTGTTGTCATATGTAGTCAGTAAGCAAAATATAGCTACTTGAAGTGTTCGACATTGTCTGTTGACCCACTAATGCGAAACTGGGACACAGTCACCTTTGGCACACTTTCCCAGAAATGGCCTTTTAAAGCCTATCTAACGTTTGCCTTTACATATGAGGTAACTAGGGGGGTTGAATATAACTCAGCTATCCAACACTGCTAACTACAGATTGTTACACCAGATAATGTGATTTTATTCTGTAGCTACATCACTGCATACTCCCTATTCATGAATTCTGACACTCCTGATTGATTGCTCCTACCTTGGTTTGGTTGCTTGGTTTTTTTATTTTATTTTATTTCACCTTTATTTAACCAGGTAAGCCAGTTGAGAACAGGTTCTCATTTACAACTGCGACCTGGCCAAGATAAAGCAAAGTAGTGCAATAAAAACAACACAGAGTTACATATGGGGTAAAAAACATAAAGTGAGAAATACAACTGAAAATATATATACAGTGTGTGCAAATGTAGCAAGTTATGGAGGTAAGGCAATAAATAGGCTATAGTGCAGAATAATTACAATAGTATTAACACTGGAATGCTAGATGTGCAAGAGATTATGTGCAAATAGAGATACTGGGGTGCAAAAGAGCAAAATAAATAACAATATAGGGATGAGGTAGTTGGGTGGGCTAATTTCAGATGGGCTGTGTACAGGTGCAGTGATCGGTAAGGTGCTCTGACAACTGATGCTTAAAGTTATTGAGGGAGATAAGAGTCTCCAGCTTCAGAGATTTTTGCAATTCGTTCCAGTCATTGGCAGCAGAGAACTGGAAGGAATGGCGGCCAAAGGAGGTGTTGGCTTTGGGAATGACCAGTGAGATATACCTGCTGGAGCGCAGACTAAGGGTGGGTGCTGCTATGGTGACCAATGAGCTAAGATAAGGCGGGGATTTGCCTAGCAGTGATTTATAGATGGCCTGGAGCCAGTGGGTTTGACGACGAACATGTAGTGAGGACCAGCCAACAAGAGCGTACAGGTCACAGTGGTGGGTAGTGTATGGGGCTTTGGAGACAAAACGGATGGCACTGTGATAGACTACATCCAATTTGCTGAGTAGAGTGTTAGAGGCTATTTTGTAAATGACATCGCCGAAGTCAAGGATCGGTAGGATAGTCAGTTTTACGAGGGCATGTTTGGCAGCATGAGTGAAGGAGGCTTTGTTGCGAAATAGGAAGCCGATTCTAGATTTAACTTTGGATTGGAGATTCTTTATGTGAGTCTGGAAGTTGAGTTTACAGTCTAACCAGACACCTAGGTATTTGTAGTTGTCCACATACTCTAGGTCAGACCCGTCGAGAGTGGTGATTCTAGTCGGGTGGGCGGGTGCCAGCAGCGTTCGATTGAAAAGCATGCATTTAGTTTTACTAGTGTTTAAGAGCAGTTGGAGGCTACTGAAGGATTGTTGTATGGCATTGAAGCTCGTTTGGAGGTTTGTTAACACCGTGTCCAATGAAGGGCCAGATGTATACAAAATGGTGTCGTCTGCGTAGAGGTGGATCTGAGAGTCACCAGCAGCAAGAGCGACATCATTGATATACACGGAGAAAAGTGTCGGCCCAAGAATTGAACCCTGTGGCACCCCCATAGAGACTGCCATAGGTCCAGACAACAGGCCCTCCGATTTGACACACTGAACTCTATCTGAGAAGTAGTTGGTGAACCAGGCGAGGCAGTCATTTGAGAAACCAAGGCTATTTAGTCTGCCAATAAGAATGCGGTGGTTGACAGAGTCGAAAGCCTTGGCCAGGTCGATGAAGACGGCTGCACAGTACTGTCTATTATCAATCGCGGTTATAATATCGTTTAGGACCTTGAGCGTGGCTGAAGTGCACCCGTGACCAGCTCAGAAACCGGATTGCATAGCGGAGAAGGTACGGTGGTATTCGAAATGGTCGATGATCTGTTTGTTAACTTGGCTTTCGAATACTTTCGAAAGGCAGGGCAGGATGGATATAGGTCTGTAGCAGTTTGGATCTAGAGTGTTACCCCCTTTGAAGAGGGGGATGACCGCGGCAGCTTTCCAATCTCTGGGAATCTCAGACGTTATGAAAGAGAGGTTGAACAGACTAGTAATAGGGGTTGCGACAATTTCGGCGGCTAGTTTTAGAAAGAAAGGGTCCAGATTGTCTAGCCCAGCTGATTTGTAGGGGTCCAGATTTTGCAGCGCTTTCAAAACATCAGCTGTCTGAATTTGTGTGAAGGAGAAGCGGGGGGGGGCATGGGCAAGTTGCAGCAGAGGGTGCAGAGTTGGTGGCCGGGTTAGTGGTAGCCAGATGGAAAGCATGGCCAGCTGTAGCAAAATGCTTGTTGAAATTCTCGATTATTGTAGATTTATCGGTGGTTAACTTAACTAATGGCATTAGGTTAATGTCATTCGAGGTTACTCAGACCACCATGGGGGAGCTAGTCTCATTCCATGACTCAAAATCCACTACTAACTACACTGATGTCAGAATAAGGCTCAGCTTATTACTTTTTAGCAAGCACACAAGTGTTTCAGTATACCACACCTAAAGATTAAAGGTAGACTTTGTAGGATACGTTAGGCCTTACAACAGCCTTGTTATGCCCTTAGACCAACATGTAGTTTATTTATAAGTGATCGTGCCTCCATTTCCCAGATTGCAACACAGCCAGCCCCAGGAAGGGGATGCTCCCCCGTCCAATCGTCCGGAGACGTCCAGCGCCAAGACTCTGATGGACATCGGTACCCGCAGGATCTTCAACGACGACCATGACATGTTCAGGGAGAGTGTCCGACGTTTCTGGACAGAGGAGGTGGTGCCCTACCACAAGGAGTATGTATTGCCTGTCTGTAACCATCTCCGCATGTGCCTAGTGTTGCCCATCAGGGTCCTGTTCATTAATCACCAAACGGTAGGAAACTGACTGAAACAAATAGGGAGGAGCCAGCTGTAAAACGCTTGTTTTCCATTGCAGAACGTTTTGAAATGGTTTTGCTACTGTGTGACATAATAAACAGGACCCTGATGAACAAGCTTTTTTCCCCCCAGTGAACTGAATGGTTTTGATGATGTGATTTATATTGTGATGATGACACAATGCTGACTTAAGGTATTATCTCTGTCTTCCCTCCCCTCTCCCCCCTCCAGGTGGGAGAAGGCAGGTATGGTGAGCAGGGAGCTATGGCAGAAGGCTGGGGAGCAGGGTCTGTTGGGGATCCTCACTCCAGAGGAGCACGGTGGGATCGGAGGAGATCTGCTGTCTGCAGCTGTGATGTGGGAGGAGCAGTGAGTATCTTGTCCTGATCTGGGATCAGCTCCCCACTGTCCGTATAATCATATTCATAATGATCTAAACTGATCCTAGATCAGTACTCATACTCCGATACGCTATATGAATACAGACCCTGGTGTAGGAGTGGGTTGATTGGCTAGTGTTTCCCCAAGCTCTATTGCTATGACCATGGGCGTAAATGAGAATGTAGTAGTTGTGATACATTTCAAACAACTGACTTAACTTAGATGGCTACTGATCTAAATGCTATTCTGTCAACAGGCTTTGTGTTGTACTGAAAGTCAGAGGGGATAATAATAGGACTCACACACTCCGACCCACCCAACCACTCACACACACACACACCCTCCCACCCACACACACCCACCCACCCACCCACACCCACCCACTCACACACACCCTCACTCCCACCCACCCACCCACCCACTCACACCCACTCTCCCACCCAGTCACACATAGCAGACCCCTCTCCTCACCCTGTCTCTCTTTGTCTTTGAGGATGTACTCTAACTGCTCTGGCCCAGGCTTCGCCCTCCACTCTGAGATTTGCATGCCCTACATCAGTAACTACGGCTCCAAGGAACAGATCGATCGCTTCATACCGCAGATGGCTGCTGGGACCTGCATCGGGGCTATCGCCATGACGGAGCCAGGAGCTGGCAGGTGAGGACTTTTAACACTACTGGGCAAAGCTGAGCCAAGCTGAGCTGTACTGTGCTGGTCTGGTTACACATCCACTTGAGTTGTTGGTACCCTACTGGAAAGGATGATGTGAAAAGAAAATATCCAAGCAGGCACAGTACGGTCTGGGTCGGCACCATGGTGTGAAAAGGGTATTAATGGTTCATTTAATAGGCTATACTTTCAACATGAGAATTTGACGATGTTAAGGTCAATGTGGGGTCATTCTGCCTGTTTTCTGTTTTCATTATAATGTGTGCTCCAACTTCTACCTCTGTCTAGTCAATAGCAGTCCATCCTAAAGATCCTCTCTTCTCTCCTTTCTACCCAGTGACCTCCAAGGTGTCAGGACGTACGCTAAGAAGGACGGCGATGACTGGATCCTCAACGGTAACAAGGTGCGTTCAGGGTGGATGTGGTTTAACCAGACTAGGGTTGTGTTTAGTCGGGCACACCGTAGCAAAACGTTTTGCAGTGGAGAATGAAAATCAGTTTTCTTGTTTGACAGATTTGAGTAGTACCTCCCCCGTTTTCAAAATGTTTTCTCCCAACTGAACATGACCCATGTCATTGACCTCTGTCCCTTGACCCGCAGGTGTTCATCACCAACGGTTGTATGGCCGACATGGTGATCGTGGTGACCGTAACGAACCGCGAGGCGAAAACAGCGGCCCACGGGATCAGCCTCTTTCTGGTGGAGAAAGGAATGCCGGGCTTCCAGGCGGGCAAGAAGCTGGAAAAGATTGGCCTGATGGCACAGGTACAGTCAGAAATCTAAATCGCTCATTTTTTAACCCTATCTCGTTAAGGGGCCATTTTGACCACCTGGCTGGGTTCAAATACTTTGATTGAAACTGCATGTAGAACCAGATGGATGGGTTGCACTTTTTGGACTCTTCCATTGGTTCCATTGCGCTGGGCAAGCTCAGTCGAAGGCAGCTAAAGTATTTGAAAGAAAACAAACACTATTGAATCCAGGTCTGGTCAAATAAAAAGACCCCTCGTTGCTTCAAACAGTCGGTTTGACATTGACGTCCCTTGAGAAGTGGGTTCAGATGACCAGAAGGGGTCACTGTCATGCCAGCCCAGTATAGAACAGCCATTACCTTCTATATATAATAACCGTTTTCTCTCTGACCCCAGGACACGGCCGAGCTGTTCTTTGAGGACGTGCGTCTCCCTGCTTCTGCCCTGCTGGGACAGGTCAACAAGGGCTTCTACTACCTGATGAATGAGCTGCCACAGGTACACAACAACACCTTTCAGAGATGAATTACACTTGCATTATACCAGGGTTGGGGTCAGTTACATTTTGATTTAGGAAGTAAGCTGAAATTGCAATTGTATTTATTTAAAAAGCAACGAGTGAATTGACCTCTAACCTATTCTATGTACTTGATTATCACAAAGGTATTGCTATAACTAGTAGCTACAAACCGCCTCATTATTACTACTCCTCACCTTCCCTGTTCCTCCTCGTTCTTCCAGGAGCGCCTGCTGATTGCAGACATGGCCATCGCCAGCAGTGAGTTCATGTTTGAGGAGACCAGGAACTATGTGACACAGAGGAAGGCTTTCGGCAAGACCATCGCTCACCTTCAGGTTGGATAACGTTATCTTTGACTGGTGTTTCTGCTGTAGCAACCAGTGGCGTATTCAGTCTAGTGGACCACTGACTCTATCGGGGCGGTAGGTAACCTAGGGTAGAGAAGCTGAAAAAAAGTGGGGACTGAACTGGCAACTAGAAGGCTGCTGGTGTCAGATCCTGTCTATCCTGCCGTTGTGCCCTTGAGCAAGGCACTTAACCCAAAACTAGCTCCATAGAACACATTTATGTTTGATCAAATGAAGGAATGAAGTTGTATTGTATTATGTTGAAGTGATCCACTAACTCCATCCCCCTGTCTCTTGGCCTGGTGCAGACAGTGCAGCACAAGCTGGCAGAGCTGAAGACTGAGATCTGTGTGGGCCGCTCCTTTCTAGACAACTGTCTCCAGCTCCACTCAGAGAAACGCCTGGACTCTCAAACAGCCTCTATGGCCAAGTACTGGTGAGAACACAACCAAATACTAACTTACCCCTCTTTTACCAGCTTTACGGTACTCCAGTCAAGAACTGTCAGTATGTTTGACAGGTAAAGTGCACTTGAACACACAGCTACCCTTATGGATTTAAAGGGAGTGGATTGGTATTAGAATGATGCTGGATATTTCTTTCCAGCCAATGCTTTTAAATCCATGATTAAGAGTTTGGAAGTGCACACTTCAGGGAGAAGAGCAGAGAAATGTGATCCCTCCTATATCGTCTGACTGTTTTGTTGTTCGCAGGGCGTCTGACCTCCAGAACTCTGTGGCCACCCGGTGTCTGCAGCTCCACGGGGGCTGGGGCTACATGTGGGAGTACCCCATCGCCAAGTGAGTGACAGTGAGACGTTTGTGTGTCATGGAGATATACAATATTTTTCTATTTAATTCTATGCTGTCTGTGCATATGAAAATCCTCTCTCGCTCTCCGTCAGGGCGTTTGTGGACTCCCGTATCCAGCCCATCTATGGAGGCACCAATGAGATCATGAAGGAGCTGATCGCCCGCAGTATCGTCAGCCAGAAGTGAGGGAGACGTCCCAGTGACATCACCATGGAGGAGAGCTGGGGAGTGGTTAACATAACAGGCTCTTACACCAACAGCAGTTTTGACTGGGTTAGCTACTTAGCTTGTTGTCGGTGCCTTTTAAAGTGATTGTCATGGTGACTGAAGGTAGGCCAGTGGTATGTCTGGGGTGAATCTGAACTTTCACTTAAATAAAATGTTCACTTAGTCTCCAATTGACTTCAATGCATGACTGAGATAAAATTGACTTAAGTGGAACTTAGGATTCACTCCTCTTTGAATAAGCATGGACTGAAATAATAGATATTTAGGGTTTCTCTATTTAATTTATTTGCTAATATTGCCTGGGAATATGTGGTTTTAACGCTCTAGATGTAGGGTTGTTTATCCCTTTCCTTGGGCATCTACAAGGCAAACAATATTTTATTGAATCCATCCATACATCCTTTCACACTTGAAATCTCAAGAGATTGAAACAATGATCAAATGCACAGAATGAAATTGTATATATATATTTTAAACCAACTTTGTTTGTGTCCAACTGTTTGTCCTGGTGTGTTTATGGGGGTAGAAAACGAAATGGTATAGTCACGTAAGTTAGAATGTTCTAGTTTGAATGAAAGATGTTACAGTATTTTATCCATCCATGTGCCTTTTGTCCAAACCGGAAGTACCCTTGCTCTCTTCTACTTATAACTATTAATGATCATCATTAAAACACCACAACAAGCCGTGTATTAGAACATTGCAGTACGTTTGATTGTTGTATTAAATTTGTTTTCTTTTATCTAAACGCCACCTTAATGTTGATTTGAAATATAATATTGCTTGTTTATTAAAGTTATAGATAATTTTGGTGATCCATCTTACAATTTTCATTTGGTGCTGTTCTGTACTATTGTGTTCTCTATTGTTTAATGTCACTTTCAGGAAGAGATATGGGGCGTTCTATTGCAGTGGAGGAAGGCATACAGGAATAATGTTTTGTTGAAGCCCAAATCCCATACTACCCTAGTATATTTCATCCATTATGTTTGTAATGTGTAGGATGAGAATATCTGATATAATAGGTTCATTCAGCAGGCCTTACCTCCGCCCAGTAGACGGCAGCAAATTCAACAGATGAGACTGTAGGCTACCCTTGAAATACTGAAGAAGAAACACATTCACTTTTGTTGTGTGTGTTGGGTGAAAGCGGTACAGGGGGAAATGTTGTCAAAAGCTGTGAAAACGTGTTTTTCCGGTGTGAAAAATGTATGTCGAGGTGGACAAGTACTTTCCACTGCAAATACCAGGTGCGTTTCGTAGTTTTGCGTAGAAACTTTACTGGGGAAATGGTGTTAATTTAACGTTTAATTTACTGTCATTGAGCAGGAAATAAGTTCGTTGTTTTTTCTATTTTGAATAGTGTTGAATTCATTGAAATTGTCATTAAACATAACATTTTAGTTAGACAGTGTTGTCATATATGTAGTCAGTAAGCAAAATTTAGCTACTTGAAGTGTTCGACATTGTCTGTTGACCCACTAATGCGAAACTGGGACACAAGTCACTTTTGGCACACTTTCCCAGAAATGGCCTTTTAAAGCCTATCTAACGTTTGCCTTTACATATGAGGTAACTAGGGGGGTTGAGTGTAACTCAGCTATCCAACAGTGGCGGCTCCTGAAAAAATTCTCAGGAGGGGCAATTTTTCTGATGATTTAGGTGACCTACACACATTTAAAAAAAGATATGTCCAGCAACAACATGAAGACAGGGGCAGCATATAAGTCAATACCAGAAGCATTTATTGACTGATCTCAAAAGTGTTGGCTTACCAGGGTTGGTGGAGCCCTCAGTTTCATCTTTGCCTCGCAAAGCTAACTCAAACACTCCGCAAAACTTCACACACTGGATTAGCCGGCTGAGGATGTGGCGGTTCTTGCTAATGTCGTAGTAAATATATTTGTTATAGTGAATATGGAATATGATATGTTGAGTAAAATGTTGTGCTAAGATCTATTTAGGTCAGGAGCTGGTTATAAGTTCTGTTCCTATCCAATAACAATGGACAAAAGGGTCCTATCTTGTCAGCCTTGTCAGCAGGTGGCCAAGGACAACACCCACGCCATAGGCCTCTCAGTTCTTCCAACTCACGAGTTCTTGCTCTGAGGACACACACACACACAAACACACACACACACACATCATCACTGTTAAACACACACACACACACATCATCACTGTTAAACACACACACACACACACACACACACAAAAATCCCCTCTCTTAGGCTGAACATTTGAAGACAGAGAACCCGACTCAGAGCCAATGCAACAGTGACAGTAGCCTGCAGGGGACCTCGCCCAACTCATCAGGACCAATCAGAAGATCAGAACTACTAGATTGAACCTACTTCATTTATTGCATAAAATGTCTGCACACAATGTTTCGGGGCTCTCTTCAGATAATAATAATAATAATAATAATAATAATAATAATATGCCATTTAGCAGACGCTTTTATCCAAAGCGACTTACAGTCATGCGTGCATACATTTTTGTGTATGGGTGGTCCCGGGGATCGAACCCACTACCTTGGCGTTACAAGCACCATGCTCTACCAGCTGAGCTACAGAAAGTGGATACTCATGGATGCGCATTGCAATTGTAAAATGTCAACACAATTGGAGACACCACGTAATTTTTGGAGACATGTTATTGACAGTAAACTATTGTAGATGCGACTGCTAACTAACTAAAACATTTTAGCTGGCTAGCTAATCATCTTAGCTAAATGTGGGGCAAACAATTCAGTTATTTACCGTTAATTTGAGGGATTGGGGTGAAAGAAATCGAGTTACATAGTGATACTTTACGATATACTGTATTGACAATATCGCAATATTTTAGCGCTAGTTGGCTGTACCTGCACCAAAACACCATTATTGTTCCTTCATAGCTTGTTCTCAATCTTTTCACATTGGGAGCCAATTTGTTTTCAGCACTTTTATTTCCATGACTGATCAAAACTCGTTCTCATGGCTTTCTGATCCCTCTGCAACAGACATATGGTGCGCAATAAAATCACAGTATCGAATCGCAATACGTATAGAATCATGAGACTCGCAATGCTGATGCATATATCTTATCGTGAGGTTCCTGGCAATTCCCAGCCCAAGTTCATTTGCCACAACAAATCTCTTCGCTAGCAAACGCGATGTCTTCTCCAAAACGGCAATGTGTCTCCAGCAATGTTTACTTTTTTGACGTTCTATGGCATCTCCACTTTCCAAGCATATATGACCACATGTAATATTTTGGTAAGTGATGCAAATAGTGAACTATGTAGGGCCAGGATGTAAAATATATGTAGCTGCAGCAATTTCTCTTATCTGATATGGTAAGTAATGGGGCTTAATTTATAGCTCCCTAAGAGTTTGACGAACGGGTCCGTGAACGCGATTCCAGATATATTTACCTCTGAATAAACTGCCTTTATTACACCATATCCACATCCAGTAAACTTGTGATTATCAACACTAACCTCATCGTTGTGGCGGCGGACAGCTAGCCTGTATCCCTCGTCATCCAGTTGAGTGAGTGGCAATGTCTTTTTTCGTTCGTACCAATTTTTGGAAAATCCTCGGGTGTAGGACTTTCCGCCTTTAGTAGAAACCTGTTGAATTATTAAATTTGGTCTGGGAGGTCCTAATTGTTTCGTTGCCAATTTATCTTCATTTGTTCGCCGACAAAAAGGAACTTCTTTCAAACAATCCACTCTTTTCTCAGTTACGTTCATGGTTACGTAACGTATGACGAAAGCGCGTAAGTGCAAGCCCACAGACACCCATTGAGATTGTATTGAAGGCTCTGAAATTTGAAAAAAATAGATTTTACATGGGAGTCTATGACAGAAGTTCTGGGCGATTTTCAATCTGACTGAAATCGCCCCAAAAGGGGGTGGAGCCATTTGAAGCACGACTTTAGCCTGATTCGACATTTAGTGGCAGTGTGGCACTGTGGCAGATCAGACGTATAGATTACAACACTGATAACTACTGTTGCCGTGATATAATTGATTAGAAAAAAAATCCCTTCCTTTTCCCGTTTGGCAGTGCGTCGCCCATATCGCCCTATTGAACAGGCCGTCCCTGCTATCCAACACTGCTAACTACAGATTGTTACACCAGATAATGTGATTTTATTCTGTAGCTACATCACTGCATACTCCCTATTCATGAACCTGACTATCCTGATTGATTGCTCCTACCTTGGTTTGGTTGCTTGGTTACTTAACTAATGGCATTAGGTTAATGTCATTCGAGGTTACTCAGCCCACCATGGGGGGCTAGTCTCATTCCATGACTCAAAATCCACTACTAACTACACTGATGTCAGAATAAGTCTCAGCTTATTACTTTTTAGCAAGTGTTTCAGTATACCACACCTAAAGATTAAAGGTAGACTTTGTAGGATACATTATGCCTTACAACAGCCTTGTTATGCCCTTAGACCAACATGTAGTTTATTTATAAGTGATCGTGCCTCCATTTCCCAGATTGCAACACAGCCAGCCCCAGGAAGGGGATGCTCCCCCGTCCAATCGTCCGGAGACGTCCAGCGCCAAGACTCTGATGGACATCGGTACCCGCAGGATCTTCAACGACGACCATGACATCATTTTACATTTTACATTTTAGTCATTTAGCAGACGCTCTTATCCAGAGCGACTTACAGTTAGTTATTTTTTCATATTATTTTTTTTAGACCCCCTGTGGGAATCGAACCCACAACCCTGGCGTTGCAAACGCCATGCTCTACCAACTGAGCTACATCCCTGCCGGTCATTCCCTCCCCTACCTTGGACGACGCTGGGCCAATTGTGCGCCGCCCCATGGGTCTCCCGGTCGCGACCGGCTGCCATGTTCAGGGAGAGTGTCCGACGTTTCTGGACAGAGGAGGTGGTGCCCTACCACAAGGAGTATGTATTGCCTGTCTGTAACCATCTCCGCATGTGCCTAGTGTTGCCCATCAGGGTCCTGTTCATTAATCACCAAACGGTAGGAAACTGACTGAAACAAACAGGGAGGAGCCAGCTGTAAAACGCTTGTTTTCCATTGCAGAACGTTTTGAAATGGTTTTGCTACTGTGTGACATAATAAACAGGACCTTGATGAACAAGCTTTTTCCCCCCCAGTGAACTGAATGGTTTTGATGATGTGATTTATATTGTGATGATGACACAATGCTAACTTAAGGTATTATCTCTGTCTTCCCTCCCCTCTCCCCCCTCCAGGTGGGAGAAGGCAGGTATGGTGAGCAGGGAGCTATGGCAGAAGGCTGGGGAGCAGGGTCTGTTGGGGATCCTCACTCCAGAGGAGCACGGTGGGATCGGAGGAGATCTGCTGTCTGCAGCTGTGATGTGGGAGGAGCAGTGAGTATCTTGTCCTGATCTGGGATCAGCTCCCCACTGTCCGTATAATCATATTCATAATGATCTAAACTGATCCTAGATCAGTACTCATACTCCGATACGCTATATGAATACAGACCCTGGTGTAGGAGTGGGTTGATTGGCTAGTGTTTCCCCAAGCTCTATTGCTATGACCATGGGCGTATATGAGAATGTAGTAGTTGTGATACATTTCAAACAACTGACTTAACTTAGATGGCTACTGATCTAAATGCTATTCTGTCAACAGGCTTTGTGTTGTACTGAAAGTCAGAGGGGATAATAATAGGACTCACACCCTCCCACCCACCCACCCACACACACACTCCGACCCACCCACCCACCCACACACACACACCCACACACACACACACCCACCCACTCACACACACCCTCCCACTCACACACACCCACCCACCCACCCACTCACACACACCCACTCCCACCCACTCACTCCCACACACACACACCCACCCACCCTCCCACCCACTCCCACCCACTCTCCCACCCAGTCACACATAGCAGACCCCTCTCCTCACCCTGTCTCTCTTTTTGTCTTCGAGGATGTACTCTAACTGCTCTGGCCCAGGCTTCACCCTCCACTCGGAGATTTGCATGCCCTACATCAGTAACTACGGCTCCAAGGAACAGATCGATCGCTTCATACCGCAGATGGCTGCTGGGACCTGCATCGGGGCTATCGCCATGACGGAGCCAGGAGCTGGCAGGTGAGGACTTTTAACACTACTGGGCAAAGCTGAGCCAAGCTGAGCTGTACTGTGCTGGTCTGGTTACACATCCACTTGAGTTGTTGGTACCCTACTGGAAAGGATGATGTGAAAAGAAAATATCCAAGCAGGCACAGTACGGTCTGGGTCGGCACCATGGTGTGAAAAGGGTATTAATGGTTCATTTAATAGGCTATACTTTCAACATGAGAATTTGACGATGTTAAGGTCAATGTGGGGTCATTCTGCCTGTTTTCTGTTTTCATTATAATGTGTGCTCCAACTTCTACCTCTGTCTAGCCAATAGCAGTCCATCCTAAAGATCCTCTCTTCTCTCCTTTCTACCCAGTGACCTCCAAGGTGTCAGGACGTACGCTAAGAAGGACGGCGATGACTGGATCCTCAACGGTAACAAGGTGCGTTCAGGGTGGATGTGGTTTAACCAGACTAGGGTTGTGTTTAGTTGGGCACACCGTAGCAAAACGTTTTGCAGTGGAGAATGAAAATCAGTTTTCTTCTTTGACAAATTTGAGTAGTACCTCCCCCGTTTCAAAATGTTTTCTCCCAACTGAACATGACCCATGTCATTGACCTCTGTCCCTTGACCCGCAGGTGTTCATCAGCAACGGTTGTATGGCCGACATGGTGATCGTGGTGACCGTAACGAACCGCGAGGCGAAAACAGCGGCCCACGGGATCAGCCTCTTTCTGGTGGAGAAAGGAATGCCGGGCTTCCAGGCGGGCAAGAAGCTGGAAAAGATTGGCCTGATGGCACAGGTACAGTCAGAAATCTAAATCGCTCATTTTTTAACCCCATCTCGTTAAGGGGCCATTTTGACCACCTGGCTGGGTTCAAATACTTTGATTGAAACTGCATGTAGAACCAGATGGATGGGTTGCACTTTTTGGACTCTTCCATTGGTTCCATTGCGCTGGGCAAGCTCAGTCGAAGGCAGCTAAAGTATTTGAAAGAAAACAAACACTATTGAATCCAGGTCTGGTCAAATAAAAAGACCCCTCGTTGCTTCAAACAGTCGGTTTGACATTGACGTCCCTTGAGAAGTGGGTTCAGATGACCAGAAGGGGTCACTGTCATGCCAGCCCAGTATAGAACAGCCATTACCTTCTATATACACTGCTCAAAAAAATTAAGGGAACACTTAAACAACACAATGTAACTCCAAGTCAATCACACTTCTGTGAAATCAAACTATCCACTTAGGAAGCAACACTGATTGACAATACATTTCACATGCTGTTGTGCAAATGGAATAGACAACAGGTGGAAATTATAGGCAATTAGCAAGACACCCCCAATAAAGGAGTGGTTTTGCAGTTGGTGACCACAGACCACTTCTCAGTTCCTATGCTTCCTGGCTGATGTTTTGGTCACTTTTGAATGCTGGCGGTGCTTTCACTCTAGTGGTAGCATGAGACGGAGTCTACAACCCACACAAGTGGATCAGGTAGTGCAGCTCATCCAGGATGGCACATCAATGCGAGCTGTGGCAAGAAGGTTTGCTGTGTCTGTCAGCGTAGTGTCCAGAGCATGGAGGCGCTACCAGGAGACAGGCCAGTACATCAGGAGACGTGGAGGAGGCCGTAGGAGGGCAACAACCCAGCAGCAGGACTGCTACCGCCGCCTTTGTACAAGGAGGAGCAGGAGGAGCACTGCCAGAGCCCTGCAAAATGACCTCCAGCAGGCCACAAATTTTATTTTATTTATTTTATTTCACCTTTATTTAACCAGGTAAACCAGTTGAGACCAAGTTCTCATTTACAACTGCGACCTGGCCAAGACAAATGTGCATGTGTCTGCTCAAACGGTCAGAAACAGACTCCATGAGGGTGGTATGAGGGCCCGACGTCCACAGGTGGGGGTTGTGCTTACAGCCCAACACCGTGCAGGACGTTTGGCATTTGCCAGAGAACACCAAGATTGGCAAATTCGCCACTGGCGCCCTGTGCTCTTCACAGATGAAAGCAGGTTCACACTGAGCACATGTGACAGACGTGACAGAGTCTGGAGACGCTGTGGAGAACGTTCTGCTGCCTGCAACATCCTCCAGCATGACCGGTTTGGCGGTGGGTCAGTCATGGTGTGGGGTGGCATTTCTTTGGGGGGCCGCACAGCTCTCCATGTGCTCGCCAGAGGTAGCCTGACTGCCATTAGGTACCGAGATGAGATCCTCAGACCCCTTGTGAGACCATATGCTGGTGCGGTTGGCCCTGGGTTCCTCCTAATGCAAGACAATGCTAGACCTCATGTGGCTGGAGTGTGTCAGCTGTTCCTGCAAGAGGAAGGCATTGATGCTATGGACTGGCCCGCCCGTTCCCCAGACCTGAATCCAATTGAGCACATCTGGGACATCATGTCTCGCTCCATCCACCAACGCCACGTTGCACCACAGACTGTCCAGGAGTTGGCGGATGCTTTAGTCCAGGTCTGGGAGGAGATCCCTCAGGAGACTATCCGCCACCTCATCAGGAGCATGCCCAGGCGTTGTAGGGAGGTCATACAGGCACGTGGAGGCCACACACACTACTGAGCCTCATTTTGACTTGTTTTAAGGACATTACATCAAAGTTGGATCAGCCTGTAGTGTGGTTTTCCACTTTAATTTTGAGGGTGACTCCAAATACAGACCTCCATGGGTTGATACATTTGATTTCCATTGATAATTTTTGTGTGATTTTGTTGTCAGCACATTCAACTATGTAAAGAAATAAGTATTTAATAAGATTATTTCATTCATTCAGATCTAGGATGTGTTATTTTAGTGTTCCCTTAATTTTTTTGAGCAGTGTATAATAACCGTTTTCTCTCTGACCCCAGGACACGGCCTAGCTGTTCTTTGAGGACGTGCGTCTCCCTGCTTCTGCCCTGCTGGGACAGGTCAACAAGGGCTTCTACTACCTGATGAATGAGCTGCCACAGGTACACAACGACACCTTTCAGAGATGAATTACACTTGCATTATACCAGGGTTGGGGTCAGTTACATTTTGATTTAGGAAGTAAGCTGAAATTGCAATTGTATTTATTTAAAAAGCAACGAGTGAATTGACCTCTAACCTATTCTATGTACTTGATTATCACAAAGGTATTGCTATAACTAGTAGCTACAAACCGCCTCATTATTACTACTCCTCACCTTCCCTGTTCCTCCTCGTTCTTCCAGGAGCGCCTGCTGATTGCAGACATGGCCATCGCCAGCAGTGAGTTCATGTTTGAGGAGACCAGGAACTATGTGACACAGAGGAAGGCTTTCGGCAAGACCATCGCTCACCTTCAGGTTGGATAACGTTATCTTTGACTGGTGTTTCTGCTGTAGCAACCAGTGGCGTATTCAGTCTAGTGGACCACTGACTCTATCGGGGCGGTAGGTAACCTAGGTTAGAGAAGCTGAAAAAAAGTGGGGACTGAACTGGCAACTAGAAGGCTGCTGGTGTCAGATCATGTCTCTCCTGCCGTTGTGCCCTTGAGCAAGGCACTTAACCCAAAACTAGCTCCATAGAACACATTTCTGTTTGATCAAATGAAGGAATGAAGTTGTATTGTATTATGTTGAAGTGATCCACTAACTCCATCCCCCTGTCTCTTGGCCTGGTGCAGACAGTGCAGCACAAGCTGGCAGAGCTGAAGACTGAGATCTGTGTGGGCCGCTCCTTTGTAGACAACTGTCTCCAGCTCCACTCAGAGAAACGCCTGGACTCTCAAACAGCCTCTATGGCCAAGTATTGGTGAGAACACAACCAAATACTACTTACCCCTCTTTTACCAGCTTTACGGTACTCCAGTCAAGAACTGTCAGTATGTTTGACAGGTAAAGTGCACTTGAACACACAGCTACCCTTATGGATTTAAAGGGAGTGGATTGGTATTAGAATGATGCTGGATATTTCTTTCCAGCCAATGCTTTTAAATCCATGATTAAGAGTTTGGAAGTGCACACTTCAGGGAGAAGAGCAGAGAAATGTGATCTCTCCTATATCGTCTGAGTGTTGTGTTGTTGGCAGGGCGTCTGACCTCCAGAACTCTGTGGCCACCCGGTGTCTGCAGCTCCACGGGGGCTGGGGCTACATGTGGGAGTACCCCATCGCCAAGTGAGTGACAGTGAGACGTTTGTGTGTCATGGAGATATACAATATTTTTCTATTTAATTCTATGCTGTCTGTGCATATGAAAATCCTCTCTCGCTCTCCGTCAGGGCGTTTGTGGACTCCCGTATCCAGCCCATCTATGGAGGCACCAATGAGATCATGAAGGAGCTGATCGCCCGCAGTATCGTCAGCCAGAAGTGAGGGAGACGTCCCAGTGACATCACCATGGAGGAGAGCTGGGGAGTGGTTAACATAAGAGGCTCTTACACCAACAGCAGTTTTGACTGGGTTAGCTACTTAGCTTGTTGTCGGTGCCTTTTAAAGTGATTGTCATGGTGACTGAAGGTAGGCCAGTGGTATGTCTGGGGTGAATCTGAACTTTCACTTAAGTCAAATTTTCACTTAGTCTCCCATTGACTTCAATGCATGACTGAGATAAAATGGACTTAAGTGGAACTTAGGATTCACTCCTCTTTGAATAAGCATGGACTGAAATAATAGATATTTAGGGTTTCTCTATTTAATTTATTTGCTAATATTGCCTGGGAATATGTGGTTTTAACGCTCTAGATGTAGGGTTGTTTATCCCTTTCCTTGGGCATCTACAAGGCAAACAATATTTTATTGAATCCATCCATACATCCTTTCACACTTGAAATCTCAAGAGATTGAAACAATGATCAAATGCACAGAATGAAATTGTATATTTTTTAAAAACCACCTTTGTTTGTGTCCAACTGTTTGTCCTGGTGTGTTTATGGGGGTAGAAAACGAAATGGTATAGTCACGTAAGTTAGAATGTTCTAGTTTGAATGAAAGATGTTACAGTATTTTATCCATCCATGTGCCTTTTGTCCAAACCGGAAGTACCCTTGCTCTCTTCTACTTATAACTATTAATGATCATCATTAAAACACCACAACAAGCCATGTATTAGAACATTGCAGTACGTTTGGTTGTTGTATTAGATTTGTTTTCTTTTATCTAAACGCCACCTTAATGTTGATTTGAAATATAATATTGCTTGTTTATTAAAGTTATACAATTTTGGTGATCCATTTTACAATTTTCATTTGGTGCTGTTCTGTACTATTGTGTTCTCTATTGTGTAATGTCACTTTCAGGAAGAGATATGGAGCGTTCTATTGCAGTGGAGGAAGGCATACAGGAATAATGCCGTCCTTATGATGCGGTCCTAATGCATTATAAGCCCGGTTTTTGTGTGTGTGTCCGTTGTACTTGAGAAGATATTTGAGCCCGAGATTGATGCCCTCGTGACAGGTCAGGAGGACGAGAATGGCAGCGTCAACTACAAGGTGAAGTCCTCTGTTCAACGTTATCTCCTGCAATGTGTTAATTTAACCACAAGATGGCAGTAAGTCTTTTGAAACAACGAAACCTGGGATTTAGCCGATATCAATAGGGATTTATGTCTTTCTACTATGAGCATCTTTACTAGCTATGATCTACTCCTTAAAAAAAATCCTATCTGTATGGTTTTAATCATCCTGTTACCTTCAATATTAAAGTTTAGTGGAGTGGTATGGACACCTCCATTAAGAACTCTTGTCCCAGGTGCTGGATTGGAGAGGATGACGTAGAACAAAAAGGAAATCCACACACTGGTATAATGCTTCTAAAGTTATTTAATATTAGTTTTGTATCATATTCTGTCTGTGGCTTCAATGATTGTCCAACCCATGAAACACCATTGGACAGGGGTCACATTCAGTAGTCAACTATTGCAGAATTAGATAGAAATTACATTAATGGAGCTGAAGTGCTTCCTTATTCTACATATCAGTCTGTTCGTTCTACGTCATGTATTTCTATCTGAACTCTACAACGTTGTGCTTGGCTGAACCCAGTTGCCCAGGTGTAGTATTACATCATGTTGCCTCTGAGCCCTTCTGTTGTAAGCTGCTTTGGCTCAGCACAAAGGCAGGTGTCATTTCCGGCTCCAATTGACCCAGTCCCAAATTGACAGTCATATATGACATACATGCGTCCCAAATGGCACCCTATTCTCAAAGTGCGCTACTTTTTACCAGAGCCCTATAGCGTTTCATTTGGGATGCACACCTCGTAACAGGATCCTAGCATTATTAAGCAGGGCAATGCACCGACTAGCCTATTGAGGCATGGATACATATATATATACAGTACCAGTCAAAAGTTTGGACACACCTACTCATTCAAGGGTTTTTCTTTATTTTTACTATTTTCTACATTGTAGAATAATAGTGAAGACATCAAAACTATGAAATAACACATATGGAATCATGTAGTAACAAAAAATAGTGTTAAACAAATAAAGATATATTTCCATTTTGAGTTTCTTCAAATTAGCCACCCTTTGCCTTGATGACAACTTTGCACACTCTTGGCATTCTCTCAACCAGCTTCATGAGGTAGTCAACTGGAATGCATTACAATTAACAGGTGTGCCTTGTTAAAAATTAGTTTGTGGAATTTCTTTCCTTCTTAATGCATTTGAGCCAATCAGTTGTGTTGTGACAAGGTAGGGGTGGTATACAGAAGTTAGCCCTATTTGGTAAAAGACCAAGTCCATATTATGGCAAGAACAGCTCAAATAAGCAAAGAGAAATGATAGTCCATCATTACTTTAAGACATCAAGATCAGTCAATATGGAACATTTCAAGAACTTTGAAAGTTTCTTCAAGTGCAGTCGCAAAAAACATCAAGCACTATGATGAAACTGGCTCTCATGAGGACCGCCACAGGAATTGAAGACCCAGAGTTATCTCTGCTGCAGAGGATAAGTTCATTAGAGTTACTAGCCTCAGAAATTGCAGTCCAAATAAATGCTTCACAGAGTTCAAGTCACAGACACATCTCAACATCAACTGTTCAGAGGAGACTACGTGAATCAGGCCTTCATGGTCGAATTGCTGCAAAGAAACCATTACTAAAGGACACCAATAAGAAGAAGAGACTTGCTTGGGCCAAGAAACACAAGCAATGGACATTAGACCGGTGGAAATCTGTCCTTTCGTCTGATGAGTACAAATTTGAGATTTTTGGTTCCAACCACCGTGTCTTTGTGAGACGCGGAGTAGGTGAACGGATGATCTCTGCATGTGTGGTTCCCACCGTGAAGCATGGAGGAGGAAGTGTGATGGTGTGGGGATGCTTTGCTGGTGACACTGTCTGTGATTTGTTTAGGATTCAAGGCACACTTAACCAGCATGGCTATCACAGCATTCTGCAGCGATATGCCATCCCATCTGGTTTGCACTTAGTGGGACTATAATTACGTTTTCAACAGGACTGTGACCTAACAAACCTCCAGGGTGTGTAAGGGCTATTTGACCAAGAAGGAGAGTGATGGAGTGCTGCATCAGATGACCTGGCCTCCATAATCACCCGACCTCAACCCAATTGAGATGGTTTAGGATGAGTTGGACCGCAGAGTGAAAGAAAAGCAGCCAACAAATGCTCAGCATATGTGTGAACTCCTTCAAGTCTGTTGGAAACCATTCCAGGTGAAGCTGGTTGAGAGATTGCCAAGAGTGTGCAAAGCTGTCATCAAGGCAAAGGGTGGATATTTTAAGAATCTCAAATATAATTTGGTTTTTTGGTTACTACATGAATCCATATGTAATATTTCATAGATTTGATGTCTTCACTATTATTCTACAATGTAGAAAATAGTAAAAATAAAGAAAAACCCTTGAATGAGTAGGTGTTTCCAAACTTTTGACTGGTACTGTATGTATGGATGTACCATGTAGGCTAGTCTCAACCAACAGACAACACAGCAAGCTCTGAGACCGCAAGGGAACAAAGCAGCAAGCTACTGCTCTGAGACCGCAAGGGAACAAAGCAGCAAGCTACTGCTCTGAGACCACAAGGGAACAAAGCAGCAAGCTACTGCTCTGAGACCACAAGGGAACAAAGCAGCAAGCTACTGCTCTGAGACTGCAAAGGAGGCTATATACTGTTGGCTAACTTACAGTTGAAGTCGGAAGTTTACATACACCTTAGCCAAATACATTTAAACTTAGTTTTTCACAATTCCTGACATTTAATCCTAGTAAAAATTCCCTGTCTTAGGTCAGTTAGGATCACCACTTTATTTTAAGAATGTGAAATGTCAGAACAATAGTATAGAGAATGACTTATTTCAGCTTTTATTTCTTTCATCACATTCCCAGTGGGTCAGAAGTTTACATACACTCAATTAGTATTTGGTAGTATTGCCTTGTTTAACTTGGGTCAAACGTTTCGGGTAGCCTTCCACAAGCTTCCCACAATAAGTTGGGTGAATTTTGGCCCATTCCTCCTGACAGAGCTGGTGTAACTGAATCAGGTTTGTAGGCCTCCTTGCTCGCACAACGCTTTTTCAGTTCTGCCCACACATTTTCTATAGGATTGAGGTCAGGGCTTTGTGATGGCCACTCCAATACCTTGACTTTGTTGTCCTTAAGCCATTTTGCCACAACTTTGGAAGTCTGCTTCATTGTCCATTTGGAAGATCCATTTACGACCAAGCTTTAACTTCCTGACTGATGTCTTGAGATGTTGCTTCAATATATCCACATAATATTGCTTCCTCATGATGCCATCTATTTTGTGAAGTGCACCAGTCCCTCCTGCAGCAAAGCACCCCCACAGCATGATGCTGCCACCCCCGTGCTTCACAGTTGGGATGGTGTTCTTTGGCTTGCAAGCGTTCCCCTTTTTCCTCCAAACATAATGATGGTCATTATGGCCAAACAGTTCTATTTTTGTTTCATCAGACCAGAGGACATTTCTCCAAAAAGTATGATCTTTGTCCCCATGTGCAGTTGTAAACCGTAGTCTGGGTTTTTTATGGCGGTTTTGGAGCAGTGGCTTCTTCCTTGCTGAGCGGCTTTTCAAGTTATGTCGATATAGGACTCGTTTTACTGTGGATATAGATACTTTTGTACCTGTTTCCTCCAGCATCTTCACAAGGTCCTTTGCTGTTGTTCTGGGATTGATTTGCACTTTTCGCACCAAAGTACGTTCATCTCTAGGAGACAGAACGCGTCTCCTTCCTGAGCGGTATGACGGCTGTGTGGTCCCATGGTGTTTATACTTGCGTACTATTGTTTGTACAGAGGAACGTGGTACCTTCAGGCGTTTGGAAATTGCTCCCAAGGATGAACCAGATTTGTGGAGGTCTACAATCTTCTTTCTGAGGTCTTGGCTGATTTCTTTAGATTTTCCCATGATGTCAAGCAAAGAGGCACTGAGTTTGAAGGTAGGCCTTGAAATACATCCACAGGTACACCTCCAATTGACTCAAATGATGTCAATTAGCCTATCAGAAGCTTCTAAAGCCATGACATCATTTTCTGGAATTTTCCAAGCTGTTTAAAGGCACCGTCAACTTAGTGTATGTAAACTTCTGACCCACTGGAATTGTGATACAGTGAATTATAAGTGAAATAATCTGTCTGTAAACAATTCTTGGAAAAATGACTTGTGTCATGCACAAAGTAGTCCTAACCGACTTGCCAAAACTATAGTTTATTAACAAGAAATGTGTGGAGTGGTTGAAAAACTAGTTTTAATGACTCCAACCTAACTGTATGTAAACTTCCGACTTCAACTGTACATAGCTTCATTTAGGTTGAGTTGAAAGTCTTGTGTTGTTTTTACATGATCAAGCTGGTGTTTCTTTGTGCAGTTGTGCTAGTATGCTACTGTCAGGGGGAATATGCCTCTGGACAGATGGCATGGGTACACATGTTATCTGTTTAAGAAGAGGGAGAGTCAATCTGCTCCAACCTCCAAATTCCCCCAAATCCTACAGTGCCAGTCTTGGCACGGGCACCAGACTTGGTGTGGCTGGGATCCCATGGGGAAGACAGGAGCAGCTGCTCCCTTGGTCAATCCCGTTCCCCTCTCTCCCTCTCTCTTTCTCCTTACATCCTCTCTCCTCCCCACCCCCCTCTCCTCTCTCCCCTCCACATCTCTTTCACTCACTCCTCAACCAGTGCCGCACCCCTCCCTCTAAGAAGAGCAATGCAATGCAGCTACTCACAGAAGCCCATCCATTCTCTTACATGTAGAGG